AATATCACCTTAATTCCTAAGCCTGGAAAAGACACAACAGAGAAAGAAAACTACAGACCTATCTCCCTGATGAACATAGATGCAAAAATACTCAACAAAATTCTGGCAAACCGAATCCAACTGCACATCAGAAAGATCATTCACCCGGACCAAGTGGGATTTATCCCTGGTTATGCAGGGATGGTTCAGTATTCGAAAGTCAATCAATGTAATACATCACATTAATAAATTGAGAAACAAAAATCATATGATTATCTCAATAGATGCAGAGAAAGCATTTGACAAAATACAACACCCTTTCATGATGAAAACCCTAAGCATGTTCCTAAGAAGGAACATTCCTCAACACAATTAAGGCAGTTTATGATAAACCATTGGCCAGCATCATATTGAATGGGGAAAAGTTGGAGGCATTTCCACTGAAAACTGGCACCAGACAGGGATGCCCACTCTCACCATTGCTATTTAATATGGTCCTAGAAGTGTTAGCCAGGGCCATCAGGCAAGAAAAAGAAATTAAAGGGATACAAATGGGAAAGGAGGAAGTTAATCTATCCCTATTTGCAGATGACATGATACTATATATAGGGGACCCGATAAACTCCTATAAGAGACTATTGGAACTCATAGAAGAGTTTGGTAAAGTAGAGTCAACGCTCAGAAATTAACAGCCTTTGTATACACAGATAATGCCAGGGCCGAGGAAGAACTTCTATGATCAATCCCATTCATGATAGCCACAAAAACAATAAAGTACCTTGGAATAAATTTAACCCAGGATGTCAAAGACCTCTATGATGAAAATTACAAAACACTAAAGAAAGAAATAGAAGACGACACAATAAATTGGAAAAACCTGCCATGCTCATGGATTGGAAGAATCAATATCATCAAAATGTCCATTCTCCCAAAAGCAATCTACAAGTTCAATGCAATACCAATCAAAATACCAAAGTCATTCTTCAAAGACTTAGAAAAAATGATGCTGAATTTAATATGGAGAAACAGGAGACCGAGAATAGCTAATGCAATCCTTTACAGTGAAAACAGGCCGGAGGCATCACAATTCCAGACTTCAAGACATACTACAGGGCAGTTATAATCAAAACAACCTGGTACTGGTACAAAAACAGATGGATAGACCAATGGAACAGAATAGAAACACCAGAGATCAATCCAAACGTCTATAACCAACTCATATTCGACATATGACCTAAAACCAACCCCTGGAACAAGGACAGCCTCTTCAGAAAATGGTGCTGGGAAAACTGGATGTCTACATGTCACAGTATGAAGCAAGACCCCTACCTTACACCTTATACAAAAATCCACTCAACATGGATCAAAGAACTAGAAATGCGCCACGACACCATGAAACTTATTGAGAGCATAGGGGAAACCCTTCAAGATGTTGGAACAGGTGAAGAACTCCTGGAGAAGACCCCAGAGGCACGAGTAATCAAAGATAAAATAAACAAATGGGATTACCTCAAATTGAAGAGTTTCTTAACAGCAAAGGAAAGAGGAAAGTGAAGAGGTGCAACCAACAGAATGGGAGACGTTATTCGCAAACTACACAACAGATAAAGGATTAACAACTAGAATCTATAAAATGATAAAAAAACACCACAGAATCAAAACAACCCCATAAAAAAATGGGCCAAGGACCTTAACAGACATTTTTCAAAAGAGGAAATCCAAATGGCCAACAGACACATGAAAAATTGCTCAGGATCCCTAGCCATCAGGGAAATGCAGATCAAAACCACAATGAGGTTTCACCACACTCCAGTTAGATTGGCTTACATACAGAAATCAACCAACAACAGATGCTGGCGAGGATGTGCGAAAAAGGGACACTAATCCACTGTTGGTAGGGATGCAAACTGGTAAAGCCACTGTCGAAGACAGTTTGGAGAGTCCTCAGAAACCTGAATATAGTACTACCATAGGGCCCAGCCATCCCACTCCTTGGAATATACCCAAATGGAATTAAAGGGGAGAAGAAAAGAGCCATTTGCACCTCAATATTTGTTGCAGCTCAATTCACAATAGCTAAGACATGGAATCAACCTAAATGTCCATCAACGGATGACTGGATAAAGAAACTATGGGATATGTACTCTATGGAACACTATACAGTAGTAAAAAAACAATGAAATCCGGGCATTTACAACAAAATGGAGGAAGCTGGAAAACATCATGCCGAATGAAATAAGCCAGTGTAAAAGGGACAAATATCATGTTCTCCCTGATTGATGGCAACTAAACGAGCATCTAAAATGATACCCATTGAAGGGAAATGGACACTTTGAGAGACAATGACATGATCAGCCCTTGTCTAGACTGTTGAGGAACAACTTACTATTTTATTCCTTTTAGTATTGTTGTTGTTGCTGTGTTTGTTCTACATAAGACCACTGGTTGAACTCTGTAATCAATGCACAATCATTCTTAGGCATTTAAAATTAACAGAAAAGTGACCTCTGTGAAACATAGGAGTGGGAATAAGAGAGGAAAGAGATATATAGTTTGGCACATGCTCACTCAGACTTACCTCCAATGGTGGAACTAGAAATGTGCCAGGGGATTTCAACTCAGTCTTACCAAGGAGGCAGGTACCAATGCCAGGGCACTTGGTAAAGTGATAAGTATAAGTACACAACTGATCAAAAAGATAGGGTAAGTGTCGAAGAGATCTCACAAATAAGACCAGTGTAAGGAAATAATGAAGGATAGAATTAAAAGGGAGAGAATGATCCTGCGGGGGAAGCAGACTCCTAGAATGGCAAACGCCCAAAACAGCACTCCTGCCTCAGAATCAACCCTTGGGACATTCGGATCTGGCTATAAGGTCCATGAGAGTCTCACAGGCATGGAAAGCCATGACACGGTGGGAAAAAACAATCTAAATGAAAGATCCTGGTGAACAAGACCCCAGCAGAAGGAACAGGCCATCAAGGCGAGAGGTGCCTTTCTCTGAAGGGAGGAAGGAACCTCCACTGTGATACGGCCTTGACTGAACAAGTTCAGAGTTGGTGAACTCAAGGGGCTTCCATATCCTAGACAGCTCATAGCAAGAGTCTCGGGTGCTTGCTGACATCATAAATAAGAGTGCCAATTGTTAAATCAACAACGGGAGTCACTGGGTACAGGCTCCCCACATAGGATCTCTGTCCTTAATGTGTTTTACTATGAAACTTAAAGACAACACTACTAGTCGAACAATACCCTATACCTTGTGCGGTTGTGTGAGTGCAGCCTATTGAAATCCTTGCTTAGTGTTTACTAAGTTGATCTTCTGTATATGAAGGTAATTGAAAATGAAACTCGATGAAGGGCGGGATGGGAGAGGGGAGGGCCCCGGGAGGGAGGGAGGTTGTGGGGGAAGCCACAACAATACAAAAGTTGCACTTTGTAAATTCACTTTTATTAAAAAAAAATTTAAAAATGTAATGAAGTTTCTTTCTTATTGTCTGGTCTTTATTCTGCACAGCACCCCAGGAAGATTTATTTATACTTCATGGCATTGGATCATAATTTTTGGGTTGTATAGGGAAATGGTAAAAAATCCAGGAAGAAATGCCAATTAAGGAAGAGCAAGTAGCACAGATAACCCTGCACCCACTTTCTCAGGCAGAGTGAGTTGATGGAAAAGTATATTTAAAATGAAGATCTGGGCCGGCGCCGCAGCTCACTAGGCTAATCCTCCACCTTGTGGCGCCGGCACACCGGGTTCTAGTCCCGGTCGGGGCGCCAGATTCTGTCCCGGTTGCCTCTCTTCCAGGCCAGCTCTCTGCTGTGGCCAGGGAGTGCAGTGGAGGATGGCCCAAGTACTTGGGCCCTGCACCCCATGGGAGACCAGGATAAGTACCTGGCTCCTGCCTTCGGATCAGCGCGGTGCGCCGGCCATTGGAGGGTGAACCAACGGCAAAGGAAGACCTTTCTCTCTGTCTCTCTCTCTCACTGTCCACTCTGCCTGTAAAAAAAAAAAAAAAAAAAAATTTAAAAATGAAGATCTGGAGGTTGATACCCTTAAAATATTGAAGTTGTATGATAAACCTATTCAGTCTGAACATCAGTAGTAAAGATGTTAAGGCTTGGTGTCTTCCTGATCTGGCATCTCTTAACTCTATGAGAAATGACTGGCAAATTCTCAACCTCTACTGCATTTTATTTAAGAGCCTTTTAACACTGCCTGGCACTTAGTAAGTCTTCAGTGTGCGAACATTGCTTCTTTTGCTGCTTTAGTGCAAGTTAGTATAGTGAAATCAGGAGAAAAGTAAATACAGAGACATTTTATAGCATGTACTGGAGTTAAGATGAGGATTTTCAGGCCTTAAAATCTTTGGTCACTTAATAGTGGAAAGTAATAACATTATATGTGGATAATCTGTAACAATGAGCTGTTGGATATTAAGAGGGAAATATTAAAGGTAATCGCTAGGCACTCACTTTTTCTAAGAGAAATAAATGTTAGGAAGAATTTCACATAATGTATATGATGTCACTGGTAAGGGTTTTTTTTTGTTTTTTTGTTTTTTTTTTTGTCTTTATGATTTATTATCTGAAAGGCAGAGCTTTAGAGAGAGACACACAAATAGAAATCTTGCATCTGCTGGTTCATGCTCTAAATGGCTACAAAAACCAGAGATGCTCTAAGCTGAATCCAGGAGATTCTTCTTGGTCTCCCAAATGGGCACAGGGCTCCAAGCACTTGGGCCATCTTCTGCTTTCCCAGGTGCATTAGCAAGGAACTGCATCAGAAGTGGAATGCCAAGACTCAAACTGATACCCATGTGGGATGCTTCTGTCACAGGTGGTGGCTTTATCTGCTGGGCCACAATATCATCCCTGCTGTTAAGTTTTTGAATGATTTTAGTAAATTGTAGTTTTGTATATAATCCAGTTTACTCTGTTTAAGTTATTTTTTGTATTTGGAATATACTATTATGTTGTAGTAACATAATTAATTTTTGTATTTTCTTCCCCTGTCTCAGGAGTTTTTGAGAGATATCTTCAATCTGCTGTTTCTGTTGCCTAGTCTGAAAGATCGACAACAGCCAAAGTGCAAATCACATTCTTCAAGAGCTGCTGCTTATGATTTGTTAGTAGAGATGGTGAAGGGATCAGTTGAAAACTACAGGCTAATACATAACTGGGTTATGGCCCAGCATATGCAGTGTAAGCAGTCTTTTCTTTCTTCAGCCACTTTCATATTATGAACTTTTGTTGGCTGGATTGTATTCAAATTTTAAAAAACACTGATTTTTTAAAAAATCCAGCTGAAAGGACTTTTTAATAAGTATTTTAAATACTTTGGTAATTTTTAGATAATTGATTTAGTTCGAAGTGAAATTAAATTTGGATGATTCTTTGAATTTTTAGGAAATTAATTGTATGCATTCTTACACCTAATTTGAAAATTTATCATATATAATTTTCTGTATATATTATCCAGACAACTGATGACAGTAGTGGCTGTTAATAAAAGCAAAAGTACATTATCTAATAGTTTTTTTTGGGGGGGTCATCTTTCCTCCCTCTTTCTTCAGCAGCCCATGCACCTTACAAGTGGGACTACTGGCCTCATGAAGATGTCCGTGCAGAATGTAGGTTTGTTGGCCTGACAAACCTTGGAGCTACTTGTTACTTGGCTTCCACAATACAGCAACTTTATATGATACCTGAGGCAAGGCAGGCCGTCTTCACTGCAAAGGTATTCATCTTCACTTCTAAACCAAAATTGTGAAAACAAATTTTAAAATTTTGTTTATAGACCTTGATTATATCTTGTGTAAACTATTGTCTGTGAAAAGAATTGATGTATTAAAGAGGAAACACTGATTACAAAGCTAGCTAACATGTATTTGAATTGCTTTTACATTTTAGTAGATTGCTCATAGTACTGTATATAATTAATTTATTTCAGTAAAAATATGGATTTTAATAATACGGAAAAGTCAGCAAGAGGTAAAAGTAAAGTTATACCTGGAATCACAGAGCTTGTTTCTTTTTTATATATCCCACAGTAAATGAGATTGTGGACCTAGATTGGGTAACCTCTGTGCCATATTATTTTTGTTTACCTCTTCTTTGGTTAATCTTTGTTTGCATGGATTGTTTTGCAGTTTGCCCTCTGCACTGGTTTTATACCTTTTTGGTGAACTGCAGTTATGCTTGTACTGATTTTGACTTTCCTCAATAGTGTCTTTTTATGTCCGGGCTTTTTTTTCCCTAACAAAGTACTAATGCTTTCTATACTGTCATTGAATCTTTTAATGTGTTTAAATTACTCTTCAAAGTCTCCAATTTACAGTGTGCTCTAGTAGGTTTGTGAATTTTGTTTTCAGTTATATTGACATTTTTAGGTTTATTAACTCAGGAGATTGATGAAAAAGGTAGATTAGTAATTGGTTAATTTAATTTAAAGGAATATTTTTTGACTAACCATGGTGAACCTATCTGCATAGTTTTATAAAACCAGTAGCAAACAAAAAACATGTTTTCAGTGATTTTCTTTCTGGATAGGAATGACGGTAATAATTCTTTATTTCTCTTTCTTATTAATGACCACCTTTAAGATACTAGTAGCACCAGCAGGAATTAGTATCAATAGAAAGAACATTCAGATGGGCTAATTGAGAGATAGTCTCACAAATGATATTTTTGGTGAAAAACTAAATTCAGACTTAGATCTACATGGAAAATCCTTAAGGAATAGAATTATATGATTTGAGGGCACTTGATTCTTTAAATGAAAAATCTTGACAGATTTTTATTTTCTGATGCTGACAGAAAGCTATCTGTATTTAATAATTGTGATAATATTTACACAGCATAAAATATGCCATTTTAACTATTTTTATGTTTATATTTAAGTAACATTAAGTACATTCACATTGCTTTAGAACCATCAATTTGTGTTTCAATCTGCAGCTGAACCTCTGTACTCACACTTAACTTCCCATTACCCCTCTCCACAGCCCATTCTGCTTTCCATTTCTTTGAATTTGACTAATCTAGGTATCTCATCTTAATAGAATCATAGAGTATTAATCCTTTTATGAGTAATGTATTTCATGTAGCATAATGTCTTAAAGTTTACCTACACTGTAGCACGTATCAGAATTTTTTTTTTTCAGGCTGAATATTTATTGTATATAAGAGGGTACTTCTAAATGTTTGAAGGAAAAATGAAATTAAAATGTAAGCATAGGGGCCAGTGTAATAGGTTAAGCCTATTACACTATGGCGCTGGCATCCCATATGGATGTCAGCTGCTCCACTTTCAATCCAGCTCCCTGCGCCCGGTAAGGCAATGGAGAATGGCCCAAGTCCTTAGGCTCCTGCACCCATGTAGGAGACCTGGAAGAATCTCCTGGCTCCTGGCTTCACATCAGCCCAGCTCTGGCCTTTGGGGGAACAAACCAGCCGATAGAAGACCTCTTTCTCTGTCTCTCCTCTGTTAACTCTGCCTTTCAAATAAATAAATAAATCTTTAAAATGTAAGTTTATTTTGATAAAAATTTTTTGAAATCTATGCAGTTTTTTCAGACCAGGTCGGTTGGGTTTAGGGTTGTATGGCTATAGACACATAGTTTTTTCATAATACTCACTTTCATGAACTTGTAAAAGATTTTTTGTATGAATTGATTTCATTTTTTAATACCAGAATTAAATTTATCTGTTACTTTGATTTTCCACATACTTCTTGACATTCTTTCAACTACAGCATGTTTTATTTCTCTATTTGTTTGTTCATGAACACTGGGTCAATTGTATGGCTATTGTGGATACGACTGTTATAAACATGTGCATATAAATACACCGAAGTTTCTACTTCCACTGCTTTTGGATTTGTACTTAGAAGTGGAATTGCTGGATTATACTGTAGTTCTGTGTTTAGTGTTTTAGGGAGCTATCATACATTTTCCACAAGGGCTATACCATTTTATGTTCCTAACAGCAATGCACAAGGGTTCTTTTAGTAGTGAAAACATATTTTTATTTTTCATATTATTCAAAATTGCACATTAAATAATTTTCCTTGTTTCTGCTTGATTTTAAGGAATTTGTGCACTTCTTTTCTTAGCTTACTAATGCTTTATATATCCTTTTATAGTCTGAATTAACACTTGCCTATATCACATGTTATATGTTTAAAAATTGTCATATGAGTATTCTTGAATAGTCTCATGGGAAATTGAGCCTCTCATGAGCCAGGAACATTTAGCAGTTACTTTTAGCAGTTTGTTTGAATATTAGTAAATTTGTGGCAACTATGCTCTGTACAGATCTCTATTTTAGTTCTTGTGTCTTCAGTTGGAGTATAAGCTTCTAACCAGCAGAGCCTAACAAAACTGGCTTATTAGAGATTTATTATTCCATAGAAATACCAGTCATTCAGATGTTTAACAGTATTTTATAATGGGGCTAACACCTTTGTCAGTCTCTTTTTAAAGATTTATTTATTTATTTGAAAGGCAGAGATAGAAGGAGAAAGAAAGTGAGAGAGAATCTTCCATCCACTGGTTCACTCCCCACATGACCGCAACTGCTAGAGCTGGGCCAAGCCAGAGCCAGGAACTTCCTCCAGATCTCCCATGTGGGTGCAGGGGCCCAAGTACTTGGGCCTTCTTCTGTTGCTTTCCTGGGCTTATTAGCAGGGAGCTAGATTGGAAGTGGAGTAGCTGGGACTGGAACCTGTGCCCATATGGGATATCGGCACTACAGGTGGAGGCTTAAGCTTCTATGCCCTAGCACCAGCCCCCATCTCCCTCTCCCTCCTTCCTTCCTCCTCTCTCTCTCTCTCTCCCTCTTTCTCTTTTTTTTTTTTTTCCCCCAACACTTATTTTTGGGGGCCAGCATTGTGGCATAGCAGGTAAAGCTGCTGCCTGCAATACTGGCGTCCCATTCGTGCACTGGTTCAAGTCCATTACCCATCCAGCTCCCTGCTAATACACCTAGGAACTGGTGAAAGATGGTCCAAGTGCTTGGGTCCCTGCACCCATGTGGAAGACCCAGAGGAAGCTCCTGGTTTCCAGCTTTGGACCAGTCCAGCCCTAGCCATGCAGCCATTTGGGTAGTGAACCAGCAGATAGAAGATTCTCTCTCTCTCTCTCTCTCTGTATCTTTGCCTCTCAAATAAATAAGTAAATCTTTTATTTGAAAGGCAGAAGTACACAAAGAGAGATCTTCCATCTGCTGGTTCACTCCTGAAATGGCCACGTAGCCAGGGCTGGGCCAGGTCAGAGCCAGGAGCTTGGAACTCCATCTCTGTCTCCCACATAGGTGGCAGGGGCCCAAGCACTCAGACTACCTTCTGCTTTCCCAGGTGTGTTATCAAGGAGCTGAATTGGAAATGTAACAGGCAGGACTCGAACCAGCGCTTATGGGATGCCAGCATCCACGGCAGCATGTTACCCCTACATACCACAAAGCTGGCTCCTAGGTCTCTTCTAATACTTTAATGACACTGTATATCTAGATAGTATGGCCTGAGTATGGATCTTTGCTAGAAACCTGGTATTTAGAGTTAAGTCTCTGGTCAGTGAGTCTAGCCAGATTGCTAAAGTTCAGTTACCGACATTTCAAATTTAGGCAGTTTTCAGAGATCTTGCCTAGTATTCTTCCTTTTAGCATAAAAGATAACACTATTTCAGGAAAAGATGCTAGTGTTTCGAAAGGCAGAAAAACAGCGATCTTTATCCTCTGGTTTATTCCCTCAAATACCTACAGCAGCTTAGTCTGGGCCAGGCAAAAACCAGGAGCCTGGAACTCAAACTGGATTTCCCACAGAATGGCAGGGACATAACTGCCTATCAGCTGCCTTCCAGGGTACGTGTTATCAGGAAGCTGAATATGGGCACCGCAGGTACTGATACTGGATGTGGGCCTCCAAACTGGCAACTTAACCACTGTGCCAAACACCTACCTCGATTAAATGTATTTTTTTTAATGTGTGTATTTATTTGTGGGAAACAGTTTCTTGCCTACCTGACATGTTTTTCATTCTTGTAAATCAGCACTGTACCAAATGTGTATTTATCTAGAAAGCATTGTTTTTTAATCTTCAGTATCCTGGTTATATAATATATTTTAGTTTTTCGTGCCATAATCCTAAAATAAGAATGAAATGTATCATTGTTTTTCTTACATATAGCTAAAATAATGAAAATACAGTTCTAGGCATATTGTAAGACTTTGCTAATTTGTCTAATTTAATACCATCAGTGTATTTTGACAGAAAGTTTTCTCTTGATTTCCAGTATTCTGAAGACATGAAGCACAAAACCACTCTTCTGGAGCTTCAGAAAATGTTCACTTATTTAATGGTATGTTTAAGAATTATTTGGTGAAAACTAATGACAAAAACTATGACAAAAGCTAAAAATGTTACGTGAAATTCATCTGTACTGATTTTGTCCTGACTATAAACTCTCACTTTTTGTATTAACTTTGTCGCCCTCTATTGTTAATGACTTCACAATTACTTCTCTCTGTTCCCTACTTTCTGTTAATTTGTCCTTTACAGTATTCCTTGTTTCGGAACCTTTTCCCATCACAGAGTTACTTGCTTTTGTGGCTGAAGATTTCTTATTTCTCTTTGTCTCTCTTAATTCCAGCTTAAAATCCTAAAAAAGGTTAAATTGCAAATCTTACTCTTTCCCTGTTTAAAAATTCCCAGTGGGTGGGCTGGGGGGTAGGGGAAACGGATGTTTAGTATGAGCATTGAGGCACTGCTGGTTAAACCACCACCCACAACTCCAGCATCCCATTTCCAAGCTTTGGTTTGAGTCCCAGCTGCTCAATTTCCAATTCTTCTCCCTGCTAATGTACTTGGGAAAGCAGCCAAAGACAGCTTTGCTACTTGAGGCCCTGCTGTGTGGGAGACCTAGATGGAGTTCTTGACTCCCGGCTTCTGCTTGGCCTAGCCCTACCTGTTATAGTCATTTGAAAAGTAAACCAACGGATGGAAGATCTCTTTCTATCTCTTTGTTTCTCTCTGTCACTCTGTCTTTCAAATAAATAAAGCTTTAAAAAAATATTAAAGTACCTGGTGGTTCCTCATTATAAACAGAATGATACTCAAGCTCATCAATGTGGTATATATCCTCTATGATTTTTGCCTGTCCCCTTTAACCTCTTCCCTTATTCCTCAGCATATCGAGCTTCACCTGTAATTACTATAAAGCCATTTGGAGCCTGTCACTGCTGCTTTTCCACTTGTGCAGCTGGTTCTGTTGCTCTTTCTGCCTGCTTCAATCTTCTCTTAGTACTTTTCTTCATTCTCTTCCTATTGTCACCCTTCAGCTCCATTTTCATCTCCTCCAAGAGATGATTCCAAACCTCACCTAAGTCTCCAAGTCTCCATGCCTTTGCTGTTTTCGCCTCTTTTATGGAGTTATCTGTCTTATAATCTTGGTGATAGAGATTATGTCACTTATTACTGGTTTTCAGCTTCTGATAATAAGTACTCAGTAAATGATCTTGCCAATAAAATTTAAAAATTTGCCTAGTGAGCCCTTGATTCTATGTTTAATCTCCTTTTTACAGAGCTGGAATATACCATTTGATGGGACAGAAAATTGTTAAGTTACTATTTAAAAAAAACTAGGAGTGGCCGGCGCCACGGTTCACTAGGCTAATCCTCCACCTTGCGGCGCCAGCACACCGGGTTCTAGTCCTGGTCGGGGCACCGGATTCTGTCCCGGTTGCCCCTCTTCCAGGCCAGCTCTCTGCTGTGGCCCGGGAGTGCAGTGGAGGATGGCCCAAGTGCTTGGGCCCTGCACCCCATGGGAGACCAGGAGAAGCACCTGGCTCCTGCCATCGGATCAGCGCGGTGGCCATTGGAGGGTGAACCAACGGCAAAGGGAAGACCTTTCTCTGTGTCTCTCTCACTGTCTACTCTGCCTGTCAAAAAAAAAAAAAAAAAAAAAAAAAAACAATAAAAAACAAACTAGGAGCAAGCATTTGATATAGTGATTTAAGTGCTGCTTGTGACACATGCATCCATTGTCAGACTATGTGGGTTCAAGTCCTGGTTCTGCTACTGATTCTGACTTCCTGCTAATGTACACCCTGGGGGGTAGTAGGTGATGGCTCAAGTACTTGGTTCCCTGTCACTTATATGGGGGGCCCAGATTAAGATCTGAGTTCCTGGCTTCTGCCTGGCCCAGCCTTGGCATTACTGACTTGAGTAATGAATTATCTGATGAGTGATTTCTTTGTCTCTGCCTTTCAAATAAAAATTAAAAAAATATTTTTAAGAGCATTCTGTGGAAAAACACTATCTGCGGAGGTTTCATACTTTACAGTACAAATCTGAATTATTTTCGTCCCAAATTCCATCCTAGCAATTCTTAGACTTAAAAGTAGATGAGCTTTTTTTTGGCCTTTAACCATGCGGGCACTTGCTGCCCCTGTGCCTCCAAGGGTGCATGGCCTTTGGGCCGCCCACTTCATGCTTCCTGGCCTGCATGCTCCTCCACATGGCTGGCTCCTGGTGCTCGTGTGAGGGGAACAGCCATACCAGTGCTGGAGCTGCAATATATGAGGTGTAAGTCTACAATGAGAGTCTGACAAGGAAGAGCCAGTCACTCATACTAGTGGAAGGGGACCAATGTCACCCCAGGAGGATGAAGCAGATGAGGAGAGTGATAATGAACTCTCAAGTGGAACAGGTGATGTGTCTAAGGATTGTCCTGAGAATATCCTGTATTTTTAGGGAGAATTGGTAGGAAGATGGCATAGTAACCTTGGTGCACGGCCAAAAGGGCTGTCTGCTCTGGTGCAGAGTGGTGTTCCTAAAGCATTAAGGGCAGATAGGTGGCAGTTATTAGCTGACTGTCCTGACAATCCGATGATGCTGGATAGATACCAAATTCTTATCATGAAGGACTCAGCCCAGGAGAGTGTCATTACTTGAGATATTCACCATATGCTTCCTGCACATGATTACTTTAAAGTTATTGGAGGCCGGTGCCGCGGCTCAATAGGCTAATCCTCCGCCTGCGGCGCTGGCACCCTGGGTTCTAGTCCCGGTCAGGGCGCCGGATTCTGTCCCGGTTGCCCCTCTTCCAGGCCAGCTCTCTGCTGTGGCCTGGGAGTGCAGTGGAGGATGGCCCAAGTGCTTGGGCCCTGCACCCGCATGGGAGACCAGGAGAAGCACCTGGCTCCTGCCTTCGGATCAGCGCGGTGCGCTAGCCGCAGCGTGGCAGCCATTGGAGGGTGAACCAACAGCAAAAGAAAGACTTTTGTCTCTCTCTCTCACTGTCCACTCTGCCTGTCAAAAAAATAAATAAAGAAAGAAAGATAGATACTGGAGGAGATGGTGAAGAATCCCTGTACAAAATCTGCAAGGCGTACTCTGTATGTGATGAAGACATTGGGTACTATCAAGGACAGTCATTTTTTACTGCTCTGTTGCTGTTATATATGCCAGAGGAACAAGCATTTTGTGTTTTGGTGAAAGTCATATATGACTGGTTTGCAAGACCTCTGCAAAAACAGCTTTAAAGATCTTCATTGCAAATTCTATCAGTTTGAGAGACTAATGCAGGAGCAGCTACCAGACCTGCACAGCCATTTTTGTGATCTGAACCTGGAAGCTCACATGTATGCATTCCAGTGGTTTCTCACCCTTTTCACTGCCAAGTCCTGCTCTGCATGGTGTTCCACAACATTGACCTACTGCTCTGTGTGAGGGTTTGAATATCATCTTTCATATAGCCCTGGCTCTCCTAAAGACCTCAAAGGAAGACCTTTTGCAGGCTGATTTTGAAGGTGCTTTGAAGTTCTTCAGAGTTCAGCTTCAGAAGAGATATAGGGCAGAGGAAATTGCAAGGAGATTGATGGAACAAGCTTGCAATATTAAAGTCCCAACCAGGAAGCTGAAGAAATATGAGAAAGAGTATCAGACCATGGGAGAGAGTCAGCTGCAGCAGGAAGACCCCATGGATAGATACAAACTGTTGAATTTATACTGAAAATCTTCATAAGAAGCTGAGAGAGAAGGAGAGGGAAAAGGAAAGAAGGAAAATGGCTTTCTACTTTCAAAAATAAGAAAAAGAGAAAAATGGCAAAGTACTGTTTTAGCTGTGCATGATCACATTCACAAAGACTTTTAGAAGGTGAACTGTTGCAAGACTGGCACAAGGATGTTTCACACTTACCTATGTCTGTTGCAAATGTTAACAATACAAACTTACTTACTTGGAAATAAAAATAAAAATCAGGAAGGTATATCAAGCACACACACAAAAAAGATACATGAGGTCAGTGTAAGCATCTTCTGGTACCAAAACCATTAAATTGAAAATGTTATGAACAGCAAATAAAAATGAAATAGAAGAGAGCATTTTCCAACCTTTGTAAATTTGCTACCTGTTTTGTTTTTGTTATTCATTCATTTAGGAATCTTGTCGTTACTTTTAGATTTTTATTTGACAGAATCATACCCCACCCCACCCCTGCGCCTTTTTTGTTTTTCTTTATAGGAGAGTGAATGCAAAGCATATAATCCTAGGCCTTTCTGTAAGACGTACACCATGGATAAGCAGCCTCTGAATACTGGAGAGCAGAAGGATATGACAGAATTTTTTACTGATTTGATTACCAAAATTGAAGAAATGTCTCCAGAACTGGTTAGTGTGTGAATACTTAAGTTTCTTTGGAAATTGTGCAGAGTTGCCTACATTTTAGTTACTGACTTTTGTTTGTTTTACATTAAAGAAAAATACTGTCAAGAGCTTGTTTGGAGGTGTAATTACAAACAATGTTGTGTCCTTGGTAAGTATTATTCCTGTTCTTGATTGTTAGAAATCGTAATATATGTTTATTATAAATTTATTATAATTTACATTATTTATAACTTAATAATTTTTGACTGTTGATTGTTCAGGATTGTGAGCACGTTAGTCAAACTGCTGAAGAGTTTTATACTGTGAGGTGCCAGGTCGCTGATATGAAGAACATTTATGTGAGTAAAAGTGTTCATAGTTTTTAGACTTTATGCTTTCAACCCTTTTTTCATAGCAGGTATTTTTTTCATACTGAAAGAATTTTTTAATATTTTCATGTAGTTTTTTTTTTATATGCTGTTCACCTAATATTTAAAGGTAGGCCACCAAGCTCAATTTTGCTCAGTGAAAATTTACTTACTCATTTTAAAAGTTTAGTGAGTTTCTTTATTTTTTTTAAGACTTATTTTATTTGAAAGGTAGAGATATATATAGAGAGCGAGGGAGAAACAGAGAGGTCTTCCATCTACTGGTTCACTGACCAAATGGCCACCGTGGCTAGAGCTGAATCAGACTGAAGTCAGGAGCCAAGAGCCTCTTCTGGCTCTCCTGCACAGGTGCAGGGGCCCATGCTCTGGGCGCATCTTGGAAAACTTTCCCTGGCACGTTAGCAGGGAGCTGGATCAGAAGTAGAGCAGCTAGAATTCGAACCAGTGCCCCTGTGGGATGCCAGCGATGCAGGTGGCGGCTTAACCCACTACACCACTGTACCAGCCCCTAGTGCATTTCATAAAGTATTTTCTCAATGTGAAGGAAGACAATTTTTTACTGAAGTTAGGAATTCACTTTTTTAAAACATCTATTTTCCTATGTGCATTCTTCCCAACTTGTGATTACTGCCTTTTGAATGTTTCATGCTGTAAACAGTAATGTGAAACTTTTAAATATGGGTTTTATACACAGGAATCTCTTGATGAAGTTACTATTAAGGACACTTTAGAGGGTGACAACATGTATACTTGTTCTCATTGTGGAAAGAAAGTACGAGCTGAAAAAAGGTATGCTTTTGGAAGATATAATTTGTATCATTTTGATAAATCAGCCCAGTAAATCAAAGAATAAGGATAAATTGAGATTAAGCTTTTAAGAAAATTATGTGATTAAGGTAAAATTAGCTGCTTGAAACTCAGTTTGACGTAGTAGCTTTTCACTTATTCAGTGAATTGTGATTTATTTTATTGTATACTTGATAAAAAGAAAATGGGAATCACTGAACTTAAAGTCTAGATTTTTAGGAGTAGAAACATGGAAGATAAGGATATTGGTCATTTTTATCATCTGTATTGATTTTCAAGTATCAAGGTTTCGTGATCTGTTTTCAGGTAATGATAGCTAATTCTTACATAAAAATTACTTAATAAATACTCAGAACTTACAGAATTTAGTTAAATTAATTCTGATAACACATTCCTTTGCAGTAGATAATATTGTCATCCCTGGTTTACAGATGGAGACTTAGAGGCACAGAAAGGATAATGAAATTTTGCCAATACTGGTTCTTAAGATAAAGAATACAAATAGAATGCAAAAAGAATACAAATGTTAATCCGGCTGAATTTGAGTTCTTTCTAAGGCATCTGGGTAGAAGAATACTCCAGATATTTGACTATTCAGAAGGAGATCCAGGATTTGGAACACAGTTAAATATTGATAGAAGGGTGTTAAGGTGACATGTTTTTTGATATTATGTTCAAGGTAGTTCTTCTTTGCCTTCCACTGTGTATATTGATGTTAGTTTTGGTTATTTGTGGTTTGGCAGATTGATTGAAAATTTAAATATTTCAGAGAATTTATTGAGGAATAATAGTTAAGCTATCTTCAAGTAAAATTGCCTTATTAGCTTTACTAATGCTTACCAAACATTTTATAATATTTTTTCATTTTATTTTTAAAAATTTATTTTTTTAAAGATTTATTTTATTTATTTATAAGTCAGAATTTGCAGGGGGGTTCGCTCCCCAAATGGTTGCAATTGCTGGGACTGGACCAGGTCGAAGCCAGGAGCCACAAATTTTCTTCCAGATCTCCCACTTAGGCAGAAGGGCCCATATACTGCTTTCCCAGGCACATTAGCAGAGAGCTGGATCAGAATTGAAGCAGTGGGGACTTGAATCAGCACCCATGTTGGATGCCAGCGTCTCTGGCAGCAACTTAACCCATCATACCACAGTGCCAGCCCCTATTTTTATTTTGTTACGATTTACATTTACTTTTTTTTTTTCAGTCTTAATCTCTGAAATTCTCTTTTCAGACAATATCCTTATGAAGAAAAAAGAATTCTATAGATTGATACAAAACCCAGCAGATTGGTTGATACAAAACTTTCCGGTATACTTTCAGGCAGCCTTACATTTTGTTCTTGAATTTTTTTGTGTCCTTGTAACTTATCATATGTGTACCAAAGTTCTTCTGGTTGTTTACCACTCTGTGTGCACTCAGTGGAGTCTGCCTGCAAACGAAAACACCCTCCTCTTAATCTCTCTAGTGAGAGGCCCTTAAGACCCATAAGATGGGAGGCATGAGACTAAAGACATGAGTAAGGATTTCAGTTCTATGGATGAACATTGAATGACAAGTAGAAATTGGATTTAGAGACAAGTGTATGTAGTGAGTAACTTAAGAACAAAAGTAGAGAATAGAAATAACCTGTTTACACAAGCAATCCAGGGTAAGGGCTGCCTGCATGAAATAGAAAGTTCTCATCAACCAGTAATAAAAGAAGATTGCTAACATACAATGATTGACCTCTAAGTTTTGGGATTAACTGAATAATTGATTGAAGCCATCAGAATATCTTCCTGACAGGGATAGAACTATTGCAAAAACCTAACCTCCTTAAAACTCAGTGGAAAAGGTGACAGAAGAAAAGCAAAAAGAAAGAAAATCAGGGTAGGATTGTAAGCCCAAAATTGGAAAGAGAATCTCAAGAGTATATTCAGTTGACATAGCTTGCAGAGGTGAAAGACAATTTCAGGTGAATAAAAGCGTGAGATTTTTCAACAAGCTAATTTGGTGGTATGTTTTTTCATGTTAAAGGAGTGGATTGAGTTGTAAGGGTGCATGCATTGAGTATAGACTAGAATTTGTTATAGAATAATGGTAATTTTGAAGGGAGCAAAGAATATGGAAGGTAGAAAAAGCTTTGGGATCAAACTTTTTTTCTAGATAAAAGATCTGAGCATTTTGAAAGCAGACAATGAAAAATCATGACACAATAAGATACTAAAACTGCTTTTCGAGAAGCTGTGCATTTTGCTTGGTCTTAATTAAGTCATTGCAAGACAGATAAACTGTAGATAGACATAATCAAATGAAAGAATAACTTCACAGTTATTAAAAAGACATTCATTTCATGAAAATTGGTATAGAGTTTGAGTTAAGAATTAAAAGTAGATTCAGTCAAAAGTTAGCTACTATAGAAGAATATTTTGTGTATAATAGATAATCAAAGGACTGAGTCAGGGTTTCTAGAGAATCTCTAGTGAGCATAAATTATTTAACAAATCTATACTTTTTGAAAATCCCCTGCATCTTTAAACATTCCTTTCTTTAGACTATTAGGATTTTGCTGTTTTTCTAAAATATCTGCCTGATTTCTCCCAGGCGAAGTACCTATTCTGTCCTTAGTGCTCTCTCTCTGTACTTTCATATGCCTGTAATAAAACAGAAGTAGGCTGATTGAAGAAGTAAACAAAGTAGGTATTATCTTCAACAGGATCATGTTCTTCAGATTTCTGTTTATCAACCAAATTATTCTTAGTACTTTTGTCTGCCTCCCAAACAGTTTATACTGACATTGATTTCCAAATATCTTAACTTGATTCAGAATGCTTTGCTGTCTTACTTATATCTCAGACTTTGTCATGTACACTCCAGTCTGGACAGATTGGTTTCTCTCTTATCCTCTGGCACAATGCGTGCTTTTTCACTACCATAAGTTCTTTCATTGCTCCTCAAAACTCTCAGGATAAAGTTCATGCTTTACCATTATACACATTTGATTTTTTTTTTAAACTAAGCTCTTGATTTAAACATACCCTCTTTTAATTTCCGTGTACAGTGAGGAACTGTTCCTTGAAATTCACATTTTTGTAAACCTAAGATTATATGTAGTTTGTTTAAACAACTTTTTTCATTTTTAACTTGCAATATGTTATGATAAGATTTAGATGACCAGTTGATTGCTGTTGCTACTGTTGCAAGGAGTAATGTGAGGTGGCACTTAGAGAATGCTATCTGTTTGCTAGGCAATGTTTCAAATATAGTGAAGTAAGAACTTCAATGTCCATTTTACAAATCAGGAGTTAAGCTCAAAGAGATTAAATAAATTCTTTAGGGTCATTTATCTGGCAACTGATACAGCCAGACTTTGCATTTCTAGTTAACAAAAATAAGTAATATTGAAGCATTATTTATAGGAATTTATAAAGTACTTACAAATAGTTTGATATATGTTATTTAAAGATGAAATGAAAACACTGAACCAAAGCCCTCCTTGGATCCGATATGTAATGTTCTCCTTTTTGTGCCTCTGTAGCACCCTTTGCATGTCTTTGTCATAACTGACTGCAGTCCAATTTAAAACTAATTTTTAATAAGAAGCCCATTAAGAATAGAAAAAGTCATGTTAATAAAAGTTACAATTTAGAATAAAAGTTAAGTCGATTATTGAAATAGGTATAATGTAAATAAAAGTAGAACAGAGTTAAAGACAGTTTTTTAATTTTTTTTTGCCTTTCAGGGCATGTTTTAAGAAATTACCTCGCATTCTCAGTTTCAATACTATGAGGTATACATTTAATATGGTCACAATGATGAAAGAAAAAGTGAATACACACTTTTCCTTCCCGTTACGTTTGGATATGACACCCTACACAGAAGATTTTCTTATGGGAAAGAGTGACAGGAAAGAAGGTAATTTTCTATCTCTTCCCCTTATCTGTGGTTATTCTTAAAGTCTCCATAACAAGGTCTTAAAGTTTCCGCAACTTGACAGTTAACAAAGCTACGCTGAATCTTACAAAGGAGAATTTTGTAAAAGCAGTGTGTCATAGGGACGGGTACTGTGATGGAATAGGTCAATCCTGCACAAATATGTAAGCATTTGAAGATTTTTAAACAGGGAGACAACATGATTAGGTGACCATTTGGGAAAAGTTATTCTAAAATAGGCTAGAGAATGATGAAGCAGGTGTGAGGAAGCCAGTCCTGTAAACCACAGAGAATTACACAAGAAAGGGTGCCAGCAGGGATGGGGGGAAGTATATAAAGTTAATATGACTCGATGACTGAATGAATGAGTGGATAAATGAATGCAAAGCTAGTGTCCAGGGCTGGTGTTATGTCACAGTGAAGTAAGCCACCACCTACAATGCTGGCATCCCATATCAGAGCACAGGTTTGAGGCTGGGCTAATCCGCTTCTGACCCAGCTCCCTGCTAATGTACTTGGGAAAGAATCAGAAGATGTCCCTAGTACTTAGGCCACTACCACGCACAAGGGAGAGAGACCTAGATGGAGTTTTTGGCATCAACCTGGCCTGCCTCTTGGCTGTTAAAGAGTTTGGGGGAGGGAATGAACCAACAGGTGGAAGGACTCAGTCAATCAATTCTTTGTGTCTGTCTCCCTCCCTCACTCTGTGACTCTCTTTTAAATAAATAAGGTGAATGTTTTAATGAGCATCTATCCACTCTATAACTTATCCTATTCACATAGTAGTGGGAATACATTGTTGGAAATCTCTGTCCCCTTGAAGCTTATGTTGTAGTTGGTCTGCTACTAGAGAGAAAGGAGGAGGAGTCACAAATGACTCATTTCTGACTTGAGCAGCAAGCCAGATGAGTAAGCAGTGGGGTCAGTATTTCAAGATCTCAAGAGTATGATCATAAATACTGAATATTAAAGGAAAAGAACAGTTTGTGTAAGAGTGGAACTGAAACTAATATAATGCTAAGAAAGTCTTTTGAATTATCAGGGCAGTTTAATTTGGGTGTTGCAATATGAAGGCAGATTGTAGCAAGTTTAAGATGAGGCTTACCTCATGAACTTCCTTAAAACAAGTGGTTTTCAAATTTTTGCATGTGTGCCTCAAGGATCACAAGGAGAAGAATGGAAATTGGCAAGAGAAGAAAACAATGGATCTAGTTTTTTCTTTTGATCTTGATTACAAGTCCTTTTTTACATAGTAAGGGTCCTGGCAATGTTTTATTTGTATAAAAACTATGCTGGGGCCGGCATTATGGCGCAGTAGGTTAATCGTCTGCCTGCAGCTCTGACATCGCATATGGGCACTGATTCTAGTTCCGGCTGCTCCTCTTCCAATTCAGCTCTCTGCTGTGGCCTGGGAAAGCAGTGGAAGATGGCTCAAGTCTTTGGGCCCCTGCACCCATGTGGGAGAGTGGAAGAGGCTCCTGGCTCCTTACTTCAGATGGGTGCAGCTTAGAGTGTTGTGGCCAACTGAGGAGTGAACCACTCTGCCTCTCAAATAAATAAATAAAATCTTAAAAAAAAATAAATAAAAACTTCTGAGGGCCAGTGTTGTGGCACAAGAGATTAAGCCACCAGTTTCAATGCTGGCATCCCATATCAGAGTTTTGGTTCAAGTCCCAGAAACTCTGCTTCTAATCCATCTTCCGACTAATGTACTCGGGAAGGCAGCAGAGGATGGATGGCCCAAATATTTGGGCCCCTGCTGCCCATGTTGGAGACCGGGACGGAGTTCCTGGCTCCTGGCTTCAGTCTGGTCCAATCCTGGTGTTTGGTGGCCGTCTGTGGCACTCTGCCTTTCAAGTAAAGAAATCTTCATAAATAAATCTAGAACAAAAAATTCTCATTTAAATTATAAAGATTTGAAGAAGCCATTCTAAGATTTAGGAAAGAGAACTATGTGTTAACCTTTAATTCTAATACCTAGCACTTACTGAGCACTTGAAAAGTTTTCCTTTCACTAAATGGGAGAAGAGGTATAAACAATGAATGTCAATTATGGTTTCAAGAGAAGAATATATTTCCTTGACGAGAGGAGAGAACTGGCAATGATACCTATGAAGGCATACAGCATTAAAGGAAGGAATTTTTACAGTAAGGATTTTACTTTTTTTAATTTGAGATAGATTTGCTGGTTCACCCCCACAGAATACCAGGAAAAGACAGGGCTTGGCTGTGGCTGAAGCCTAGAGCCAAGCGTGCAGTGTTCATGCACATGGCAGGGCCCCAGTGACTTGAGCCATTACCACTGTCTTAGAGTCTGCCTTTACCAGGAAACTGTGCAGTCAAGAACCTGAGCCAGGAATTTTAACCCAGGTACTCTGATGTAGAAAGCTGACGTCTTACCCACTAGGATAAACATCTGCTGCTATGGTTGGGATTTGAGTATATTTAGAAGTTTCAGGCTGGCGCCCTGGCTCACTAGGCTAATCTTCCGCCTGCGGCGCTGGTACTTCGGTTCTAGTCCCGGTTGGTGCGCTGGTTCTGTCCCGGTTGCTCCTCTTCCAGTCCAGCTCTCTGCTGTGACCCGGGAAGGCAGTGGAGGATGGCCCAAGTCCTTGGGCCCTGCACCTACATGGGAGACCAGGAAAAACACCTGGCTCCTGGCTTCGGATCGGCACAGCACGCCAGCTGTATCAGCCATTTTGGGGGGGTGAACCAATGGAAGGAAGACCTTTCTGTCTGTCTCTCTCACTGTCCACTCTGCCTGTAAAAAAAAAGTTGCAGAAAATATCACAGTAGACAAGGTAAGCTTGAAACTACAAGTAAAGGGAGACATTCAGTTGGCCTAGTAAAGATGCTCCTGTCTCAGGGTATCTGGGAAGCTGACAGTTCCAGCTTCCTGCCACTCCAGACCCTGGGAGATAGCAGGTGATGGCTCAAGTAGTTGGTTCCTTCCACTCACATGGAAGACCTGGATTTAGTTATGACTCTTAGCTTCAGCCTTGGCCTTTATAGGTATTTTGGTAGTGAACCAGCAGATAGGAGTTGTCAGTCTGTCTCTGTCTCTTGATTATTTTTGTTTTTTTAAGTCTTATTTATTTGAGGCTGGTGATGCAGCTCACTAGGCTAATCCTCGGCCTTCCGGCGCCGGCACACTGGGTTCCAGTTCTGGTTGGGGCGCCAGATTCTGTCCTGGTTGCCCCTCTTCCAGGCCAGCTCTCTGCTGTGGCCAGGGAGTGCAGTGGAGGATGGCCCAAGTGCTTGGGCCCTGCACCCCATGGGAGACCAGGATAAGTACCTGGCTCCTGCCATCACATCAGCGCGGTGCGCTGGCCGCAGCGCGGCGACCATTGGAGGGTGAACCAACGGCAAAAGGAAGAGCTTTCTCTCTGTCTCTCTCTCTCACTGTGCACTCTGCCTTTAAAAAAAAAAAAAAAAAAAAAGACTTATTTATTTGAAAGGCAAAATTAGAGACAGGGTGAGAGAGACAAGCAGCAGCTTAACTTGCTATGCCACATCATTCAATCATTGAATACATTAAAAAACTGTGTATGTGTGTATGACTGTTTGTAATCACATAAACATATACGGGTGCAAGTTAAGTAGGCATTACAGATGTTGGTGGAAACATAGAATTAAAAGATTTTATATTGTAATTTTAGTATTGTATTTTTTAATTCATATCCAGTTTTTTAATACTGATATACAGGAAAGCAGTTGACTTTTTTGTTTTTAGGATTAATTATTTGAAAAGCGGAGTTAGAGAGAGGAGAGAGATTGATTGATTTTCCATCCACTGGTTCCCTCCCCAAAAGACCACAATATTTGGGGCTGGGCCACATCTCCTACATGGGTGGCCCCTTGAGCCATCCTCTACTACTTCACCAGGCACGTCAGCAAGGAGCTGGACTGGAAGTAGAGCAACTGGGATTTGAACTGGCACCTATATGGGGTGCAGGCATTATAGGTGGCTGCTTTACTCGCTGTGCCACACACTGACCCTAGATACTTTTTTTTTTTTTTACAAACAACAGAAATCCACACATATAGGAGTCTTGTAAATATTTATAAAAAAAGCCATGCATGAATTTCAAACTTTGCTTTGCATGAAAATAAACATTTAAAAGTACTGGTGTATATGTACAGCCTATGTTTTAGACCTCTCACTTTATTTTAAAGATATAGTTTATTTATTTGAAAGACAGAGGGAGAGAAAGAAATCTTCATCTGCTGGTTTACTCCCTAAATGATTGCATTGATGGGGTTAGGCCAGGCCAAAGCTAGGAGCCTGGGACGCCATGGGTCTCCCATGTGGGTGGAAGGAGCCCTCCAAGCACTTGGGCCATCCTGCATTGCACTCTGGATTGGCACTCATGGGATGCTGGCTTTGCAAGTGGTGGCTTGACTCACTGGTCCACAGTGTAGACTCCTCTCTCTTTCTGAAAGACACAGACAGAGGGAGGTCTTACATCTGCTGGTTCACCTCCAAATGGCCACATCAGCCAGGTCTGGGCCAGGCTGAAGCCAGGAGCCTGCAACTCCAAGTGGGTCTCCTGTGGGACTTCCCTGCATGTGCTGCTTCTCAGGTGCATTAGCAGGGAGTTGTATAGGAGGCAGACTAGCCAGGACTTGGACCAGCACTCTAGAAGAGGATGCAGCTGTCCCAAGTTGCTGCCTTTTTTTTCATTTTGATCCCCTGCATGGAGCTGACAGATACTTAGGCAAAGATAAAAGAATCTGTTAGCTGTCAGGTGATGTATTCAGATCCCAGTACTGTCATTATTAGCACACCTGTACTTCTCAACCACTTTACCTAGTTGTCACTTCTCTTGCCTCCTCAGTCTGTGCACTCAAGTTGACAAAATCTGCTCTCATTTCTTTGCTACTGATTGTACATTTTCCTTTCTTTGTGATGATGATGATGGGGATGCAGATCAGTAATCATACAACTTCAAATTTACTAGCCTATTCTGTTATTTTTTTCTTATTTTTTTATTAGTTTTTAGATTTTAAATCTTTGAGGATGGGAAATCTGTTTTTTATTTGTTGTTTCTTCTCGTAGTTCCTAAATATAATCTGGTTTTTTTTTTTAAGATTTTATTTATTTATTTGAGAGGCAGAGTTACAGATAGTGAGAGAGAGAGAGACAGAGAAAGGTCTTCCATCTGCTGGTTCACTCCCCAGATGGCCACAGCAGCCAGAGCTGAGCCAATCCAGAGCCAGGAGCTTCTTCTGGGTCTTCCATATGGGTGCCAGGGCCCAAGCACTTGGGCTTTCTTCCACTGCTTTCCCAGGCCATGGCAGAGAGCTGCATCAGAAGAGGAGCAACAATGCCATTATGGGATGGCCGGCGCCACAGGAAGGAATCTTAGCCTGCTATGCCATAATGCCAGCCCCTAAAACCAGGACTTAAGAATGCAGTTCCCTGGCCACCAACATGGCTCACTAAGCTAATCTTCTGCCTGTGGCGCCGGCACCCCAGGTTCTAGTCCCGGTTGGAGCGCCGGGGTGTGTCCCGGTTGCTCCTCTTTCAGTCCAGCTCTCTGCTGTGGCCCGGGAGTGCAGTGCAGGATGGCCCAGGTCCTTGGGCCCTACACCCACATGGGAGACCAGGAAGAAGCGCCTGGCGCGTGGCTTTGGATCGGTGCAGCACGCCAGCCGAGGCAGCCATTTGGGGGTAAAACAGCAGAAAGGAAGACCTTTCTCTCTGTTTCTCTCTCACTGTCTAACTCTGCCTGTCAAAAAAAAAAAAATGCGTTTTCCTTTTTTCTTCCCTTAAGTTTTATTTATTTATTTGATAGGCAGAGATAGATCTTCCATCCACTGGTTTACATCCCAGATGGCTGCAACAGCCAGGCCAAAGGCAGGAATCAGAAGCTTCATCCTCACTTTCCACATTGATTGCAGGGCCCAAGTACTTTCCCAGGCCATTAACAAGGAGTTGTATTGGAATTGGAGCAGCCAGGTGACGAACTGGCACCCATATTGGATGCTGGCATTACAGGCAGCAGTTTACCCACTATGCCACAATGCTAGCTTGACCATTTCCTAATAGAGTAAGAGTTAAATTAAGCACATCATACTATTTCAAAAAGACCAGTCAGATTAATCAGATTACTATATTTATAAATTATACTGAATTTGTTCATAATTTTATACCTATTTGGTTTCCCAGCAATTTGTACGCCATGTTTCTTAAAGTGGTAGACTGTGGGTGGTGGATGACTGTTAGATTTGTTTTGTACCTGTTTAATATATATTATATCTATATATAAAGTTATCTATTTCTGTACATAAAATATATTACAAAAAAATTCTAAGAAGTCACTGTGTGCAATTTGCAGAATTACTGCCATTTTATTTACATCATTTCAGGTTTTAAGGAAGTCAGTGATCACTCAAAAGACACAGAGAGCTATGAGTACGACTTGATAGGAGTGACTGTTCACACAGGAACTGCAGATGGTGGACACTATTACAGCTTCATCCGAGATATCGTTAATCCACATGCTTATAAAAACAATAAATGGTGAGTGTAAAATCTTTTTCTTGAGATTTTTCAAAACTTTTTTCTGACTCCAAGGTATAAATTTATGATAGTTTTTAGATTTGCTACATTTTAGTTCTGTGAAACTTCTTGTAAAATTAGGAAAAGTGATGCAGTTTTCAAGTGGATGTCTGGACTCTTACAAGTTTGATGAATGCTTTTCCTGGAAAATGAAACACACACCAAGTTTTGCATACAACTTGAGATTCATGGGCAGTATAATGCCTCTTGAATCTTATCTGTGAGGTCTGTATTAATTGCCTTCTCTAGGGTGACGACAGAGTTTTTATGTGTGCTCATTAGAAGTTCCCTCCTTTTTTGCTCTGCTCTGTTCACCATGCTATCTTATGCAGGTTTTTTTCCCCCCTTCAAGTTTGTTTGAGAGAGAGAGACCCATACTTAGAAAACTATTACCTGGTAGTTTACTTCCCAAATGCCTCAATTGATCTGCAGATGCTAGGAGCTGGGAACTCAATCTAGGTCTTCCATGTGGTAGCAGAAACCCAATTACTTGAGCCAGCAAGGACCTGGAGTTAGGAGGCAGCAGCAGGTAAATAACTCAGGTACCCATTGGGCTGGAGCTGTGGCGCAGTAGGTAAAGGTGTTGCCTACAGTGCCAGCATCCCATATGGGTGGCAGTTTGAATCCCAGCTGCTTCACTTCTGATCCAGCTCTCTGCTATGGCCTGGAAAAGCAGTAGAAGATGGCTCAAATTCTTGGGCCCCTGCACCCATGTGGGAGACCCAGAAGAAGCTCCTGGCTTCGTATTGTCACAGCTCCAGCTGTTGCAGCTATCTGGGGAGTGAGTCACTGGATGGAAGACCTCTCTCTCTCTCTCTCTCTCTCTCTCTCTCTCTCTCTCTCTTTTTTCCTCTGCTTTCTGTAACTCTGCCTTTCAAATCAATCAATCTTTTTTTGGGAAAAAAAAAAAAAATCAACTCAGGTACTCCAATATAGAATACAGGCATTATTAGAGGCATCTTAATCAATAGTCTAAATGCCTGCCTCCCTCACACACTCTGTTTTTATCATCTTTTATCAGGTTAATGGTTAGAGGTTATTAAATCAGTCCCTAATACGATGTTTTTGTTCTTCAGATGCTGTTAGGTGTAGGAACTATATGTTTGCTAGATAGCACTCTAAGTGTGGGATATCACTTTGAACAAAATGTATAATTGATATTTGATCTGCAGTTAGGATAGTTTCATTCAGTTATTTCTCAGTCTTTCAGCCATCATGTCCATGATGTATTTTTGCTTTTCTTATGTGTTTGAGAATATTCCTGTGACTATTTTTTGTTTTAAAGATTTATTTATATATTTGAAAGTCAGAGTTACACAGAGAGAGAAGGAGAGGCAAAGAGAGAGAGAGGTCTTCCATCTTTATCTCCGAAATTTCTCATGTCTAAAAATTTCACATGCTAGGTTTTTTTTTAAAGATTTATTTATTTATTTCAAAGGCAACTTTACAGAGAGAAAGAGAGACAAGTCTTCCATTTGCTAGTTTACTCCTGAATTGCCACAAAGGCTTGGGCTTGGCCAGACGGAAACCAGGAACCCGGAGCTTTCTCCATGTCTCCCACATGGGTGCAGGGGTCCAAGGACTTGGGTGATCCTTATCTGCTTTTCTCAGGTCATTAGTGGGGATCTGGATCAGAAGTGGAACAGCTGGGACTCAAAGCAGTGCCCATATGGAATGTCGATATGGCAGACCTGCTGTGTCACAAGGCAAACTTTTCTTTTCCCCTGTGTTTGTTAGTCCTAGGTTCTAAATGATTTTAAGATGGTTATGACCATGTTATAAAATTACATGTCCAGGGGCTGGCACTATGGCCGCCTGTAGTGCCAGCATCCCATATGGATGCCAGTTTGAGTCCCAGCTGCTCCACTCCTGATACAGGTCTCTGCTATGGCCTGCGAAAGCAGTAGAAGATGGTCTTGCTCAGAGGAGGCTCAGGCTCCTGGCTTTGGATCCCTTGAGGCCATCTGGGGAGTGAACCGGCAGCTAGAAGACCTTTCTCTCTCTCTCTGACTCTTGCTCTCTGTAACTCTGCTTTTCAAATAAATAAATCTTAAAACAACTTATGTCCAGTTTCTAGTAATTTCGAGTTATACAAAGAAGAACTTAGAATTACCTCCTGAAGTAATTTGATCTGTAATTGTAACACATCAGTATGTATTCTAAGTGTTTTTAAAGTATTAGATATAATTTATAGGTATTTAGTGTATATTTTCTTTATTAATACTATATGCTCTATTTTAGGTATCTTTTTAATGATGCTGAGGTAAAACCTTTTGATTCTGCTCAGCTTGCCTCTGAATGTTTTGGTGGAGAGATGACGGTAAGTTTTATTCAGAAAGTATAAGTGATTTGTTATTTTTTAAGTGCTTTGTCATCTCATAAAATCGAATAGCAGAATCACTTAACTTTCTTTGCTATGATTAATTATAAAAATGTATTTACTCTGTAGAAGTTGAATATATTCACAGAATATACTAGAAAGTATAAAAATTGCTATTTCTGTTTAAATAAAAAGTGATAACAGGAATTTAGTTACGCTGTGAGAATTATAATCGAATAAATTGTTTCCTCAATGAATTTTGTAGAACTAAAAAGAAATTACTCTCTACTGATAATCTGAACACTTTTAACCACAAACTTGACTTGAGCCAAAATTTAAAGATTGTTCCTTTTAGTACTTTTTTTTCTTAAGATTTATTTTTTATTTATTTGAAAGAGTTACAGAGAGAGGTAGAGACAGAGAGGTCTTCTATCCACTGATTCACTCCCCTGATAGCTGCAACAGCTGGAGCTTTGCCAATACAAAGCCAGGAGCCAAGAGCTTCTTCTGGGTCTCCCACGTTGGTGCAGGGGCCTATGGACTTGGGCCATCTTCTACTGCTTTTCCAGGCCACAGCAGAGAGCTGGATTGGGAAGAACAGATGGGACTAGAACCGGCCACCCATATGGGATGCCGGTGCTTCAGGCCAGGGCTTTAACCTGCTGTGCCACAATATGGGCCCCCTTTTAGTACTTTCCTGTAATTGAAGCAGCAACCTGAAGAATAGTAGTTATGGAGTAGCAAAAGAACATCTGCGTTACATAACGAGGGTGTTAAAAAAAGAAAATTAGGTTGTACCATGACTGTAATACTTCCACTTTTCAGTAGACAGTTGATCCTTGCATCGCACCAGTTTTCTGAAGAGTTTTAAAGTACCCTGTTGGTAGTAGGCATTGGGCTTGGTGGTTAAATACCCACCCCTGTTCCATATCAGAGTACCTGTCTTCCATACCAGGCTTCTGTTTCTGACTTCAGTTTCCTGTTAATGCAGCTCCTGGGAGACAACAATGATGGCTCAAGTGATTGGGTTCCTACCATTCGTGTGGGAGACCTGGATTGAATTTCTGGCTTTTCCCAAAGCAGAAAGGGAAGTGAACCATCAGATAGGAGCTTTTTTCTCCTTCTGTCTCTTGCCTCTCAAATAATTAAAAACACCCTATTGGCATCTCACAACTCAAGTATTTGTCATGTGCATTTCACAGGGAAGACCAGATAGTCTTTTCTTTTTAAATCTTAATTACCATGTTCATTGTAAAACAACTTTTCTATATATAAACTTTCTGGATTTTAATGAAGGACTTCCTTATTATTTCTTGGTATTTTTGTCTACTATCTTAAGTGGACAGGGAAAAGTAGTCCAACTGCTAACAACTTGGAAATGGATTGAGGGAGGAAGTGAATATTTGGTTACCAATTCAAGTGATCACTAAACCATTTGCACCTCTAGGTGTTATTCCTAGGACATTTCCTTTAGAAAAAAAAGCAAGAAAGAAAAGAAACAAGTAAACTTTGCAAGGCTCTTCTCTTAAAAGGCAGTTTTTCAAATTGTAGGTCCATTTTATTTTCTTAATTTTTAACATTTTATGGTAAAGTACCTTGGGAAAAAATATTTTGAATCTTGGTTGTCAAAAATTTCTACCTCTGTCCCTCCTTAACATTATGCTGTCTGTGATGATGCTTTTCTGGTTTTTTTTTTTTTTTTTTTGCCATCTTTTCTTTTACAACATATCTCGAATTCTCCAGGATTGCCAGTATTATGATCTTTTCTCATTTAGAAGGCAGCCCTTAGGACACCAGAAACCCCACTACTGAAATTTCTTGTATCACTTCCTTCTACACCTTCTGTTGGTCTTAATGTCTTGCCTGACTCAAATTCCAGACGCATGCTGAATGTTTCCCGTGTTGCACTGTCTTTTCTCTTTGGCTTTCTATTGCTTTTTTACTGTTTCAATCATTTTTCTGATGTCTTTGGTCAACTCAGATTTTTTGATGCTTCTTTCCTTATCATCCATCAGTTAAACTGCTTAGTGTGTATACTGACAAATCCATTTCTGTAAAAAGTTTTAGCTTTCAGGCACAACATAGAATTTTTGAGGCATTGGTTGAGGTTCTTATGGATAGTATTTTGGGATCTCAAAATAAATTATGAAGCCTGTGAGTAATTTAGGAATCTTTTTTTATCATATATAATGTCATTGAAGATACACAGTTCAAATTAGATTTTTTATTTATACTTCCACTTTTATTGAAATTACGAGCAGACGAACTATTTCTTTGCCACACCTTCTTTTGTTTTCTTTTATGATAGTAATGTTATAATTCTGTCTCAATTTGATGGTATTCAGTTCTCAAAAAGATATATACCCATTGTGGTGTTAGAATACAAATTTGTGAAGCACATAGGACTTTTACAAATTCAGTGTTACTTGAAAACTATTTTTACAAAGGTACTGTGAAGTATGAAGTACTGTTTATTAATTTATATGTCAATAATAGCTGAATATACTGCATTCTTTTTAAAAAAGGAAAATTTTTGTTCTTTTAAACAGACCAAGACATATGATTCTGTTACAGATAAATTTATGGATTTCTCCTTTGAAAAGGTAATCTTTTTTATCTATGATAATTTTTCCTTCTATGTTGTCTTCTTGACAATTAAAATCCTAAATGAAAATATGCTTTTTATTTTGTCTTGCTCTTAAAGACCCACAGTGCATATATGCTGTTTTATAAACGCATGGAACCAGAGGAAGAAAATGGCAGGGAATACAAATTTGATGTTTCATCAGAATTACTAGAGGTATGTTAATTTTGTTATAGCAACAGTTTCAAAGTCTGTTATTTCTCTAAAAAACAGGGTGTCAACAAAAAATCAATATAAATACATTCTACCCAACATGAAGACCTATACTGCAAAGTCGACTTTAAGAGTACTTACAAATATCCTTAGTAAGATGGACATAAGACAGGTAAAAGTGGGCTGGCGCTGCGGCTCACTAGGCTAATCCTCTGCCTGCAGCACCAACACCCCGGGTTCTAGTCCCGGTCGGGGCACTGGTTCTGTCCAGCTCTCTTCCAGTCCAGCTCTCTGCTGTGGCCCAGGAAGGCAGTGGAGGATGGCCGAGGCCCTTGGATTCAGGATGCGGGCATCTCACACAGCAGTTTAACCTGCTGTACCACAGTGTACAACCTATAAAATTTTCAGTAAAACTTTCAAAATGTATATTTGTTTATTTCTTTAGTGTTTCTTAAGCTAGACTGTTTTAAATTCTTAAAATTTATTGAGGGATTGAGGGTTTAGTAGTCTAGTGGTTAAGCTACTGGTTGGGACATCTACTCTCATATCAGAGGGCATGGATTCAAATCCTGGCCCTGCTCCCAGTTCCAACTTTCTGCTACATGGGAGGCAGCATGTGATGGTTTACATAGTTGGGTCCCTGCCACCCCATGGGAAACTCTGATTTAGTTTCCATTTCCTAGTCTCAGCTTGGCCCAGCTGCAGCCATTGTGGGCATTTGTGGAGTGAACTAGTGGACAAGATCTCTGTCTCTTTGCTTCCCAAATAAATAAAGAAAATGTATTTAGGTACTGAGAACTGTGAGAAAGTTGACTTTTACTATAAATTTTAATGTGATTACACCTGTTAATCTTTATCATTTTAACAAAATAAGCTAGATTTTTTGATTATTTTCTGGTTTTTTTTTAAGAGGATAATCTTGTCTAATAAATTGGTGAAATGTAAAGTATGCATTCTGATATCTAATGTTAAAAATTTTTTTCTTCAGTGGATTTGGCATGATAACATGCAGTTTCTTCAAGACAAAAACATTTTTGAGCACACATATTTTGGGTAAGTTAGGTAAATTCAGTAGTAGATTTTTTAAATTAGTTTTTTAATCTCACACTGTAAGGATCTCAAGTTGTTATTCTTTATTTCTAGGTTTATGTGGCAGTTGTGTAGTTGTATTCCCAGTACGTTACCAGATCCCAAAGCTGTGTCACTAATGACAGCAAAGGTAATATATAAACTCTAGATCGTGTTGTCAAACTTTGTTACTTTAAAATAACTAAGTCACTTTTGTGTGATTTTCTGCTTTCTTACAGTTAAGTACTTCCTTTGTTCTAGAGACATTTATTCATTCAAAAGAAAAGGTATGTGTTTTATTTTCTGGATCTTCTTGTAATATCAGTTATGTTTTGGGTTTCTTATCTTTCACTCAAAAGTACTTAGGCCTTGATTGACTTTGTTTTTGTTTTTTAGCCCACAATGCTTCAGTGGATTGAATTATTGACCAAACAGTTTAATAATAGTCAAGCAGCTTGTGAGGTGAGATGACAAATTCAACAAATAATTCATAGCTTAAAATCTTACCTACTAAATCAGTTATGTTAATTATCGAATTGCTTTTTAAGTTATTTAAAAATTTTTGTGTTTTTTTTCTCATGGAAGGAAAAATTATAGGACATTTAAATTTTTAAGATTTGGCCAGCACCGCGGCTTAATAGGCTAATCCTCCCTGCTTGCGGCGCCAGCACACTAGGTCTAGCCCCGGTCGGGGCGCCGGATTCTGTCCTGGTTGCTCCTCTTCCAGGCCAGCTCTCTGCTGTGGCCCAGGAGTGCAGTGGAGGATGGCCCAAGTGCTTGGGCCCTGCACCCGCATGGGAGACCAGGAGAAGCACCTGGCTCCTGGCCTCGGATCAGTGCAGCGTGCCAGTGGCCATTGACGGGTGAACCACTGGAAAAGGAAGACCTTTCTCTCTGTCTCTCTCTCTCACTGTCCACTCTGCCTGTCAAAAAAAAAATTTTTTTTAAGATTTTTTTCTGCTTTGTTGAGGTATAATAAAAATTGTGTGTATTTAAAGTGTATGCGATGATTTGCTATACATGCACATTGTGAAATTTTTGCCAGAATCAAATTAACATATCCATCACTGCTTCGTTATTTTGCATATGTCTCTGTATGTGTATGCATGTGTTTGGACACTTAAAAATCTCCCCAGTAAATTTCAAGTAAACAATACAATATGGGGCTAGTGCTGTGGCATAGCTGATATAGCCGCTGCCTGCAGTGCAGGCATCTCATATGGGTGCTGGTTCGAGTCCTGGCTGCTCCACTTTTGATCTAACCCTCCGCTATGGCCTGGGAAAGCAGTAGAAGGTGGCCTAAGTCCTTGGGCCTCTGCACCCACTTTAGAGATCTGGAAAAAGCTCCTGGCTCCTGGCTTCGGATCAGCATAGCTCTGGCCATTGTGGTCATCTGAGGACTGAACCAGTAGATGGAAGACCTCTTTCTCTTTCTCTCTGCCTCTCCTTCTCTTTTTGTGTAACTTTGACTTTCAAATAAATAAATATTAAAACATATTTTAAAAACAGTGTAGTAACTATTGTCACACTGCCATTATGTAAAATCATTAGCATTTTTCATTTTATAACTGCAACTGTGTTCACCTTGGCCAGCATCTTCCCATTTCCTCTATCCCTCTCTTCCTTTAAAAAATACCTATAAAGCGGCCAGCGCCGCAGCTCACTAGGCTAATCCTCCACCTAGCGGCGCCGGCACACCGGGTTCTAGTCCCGGTCGGGGCGCCGGATTCTGTCCCGGTTGCCCCTCTTCCAGGCCAGCCCTCTGCTGTGGCCAGGGAGTGCAGTGGAGGATGGCCCAGGTGCTTGGGCCCTGCACCCCATGGGAGACCAGGAAAAGCACCTGGCTCCTGGCTCCTGCCATCGGATCAGCGCGGTGCGCCGGCCGCAGCGCGCTGGCCGCGGCGGCCATTGGAGGGTGAACCAACGGCAAAAGGAAGACCTTTCTCTCTGTCTCTCTCTCTCTCTCGCTGTCCACTCTGCCTGTTAAAAAAAAAAAAAAAAAAAAAAAAAAAAACTATAAAGCTACTGTCTCAGATATATATCCAATTATATTTCCCCTCATTTTAAGAGAGATGGCATCTCAAGGGATAATCTCACAAATAACACCAGCATACCCATATTGCTATCCTAATATTGTAAATTTTGATTCATAACCAAAGAGATGAAAACCTTCCCAGGAATATAGGTGTTAGGGTTTTTCAGAAGTGGACATAGAAGTATATTGTATGGTCAATAAAATTAGTTATACCTCATAATAATAAAATAATAGAATGTTAGCAGAAATTTCAAATACAATGCTGTAACTTTTTGAGACTTTATAATGAACATTTGGAAACATGAACAAAAGTAGGAAGTCATATTGTACTGAGGTACACCTATTTCCCAACTTGGGAAGATAATATTCTTTCATTCTGGTTTCACACATTGCTTTCCTGCCATACTTGGTTTGTTTTGTTACTGAATTTGAGAGACAGATAAGCAAAAAGAATTCCTGTCTGCTTGTTTGCTCCCCAGATGCCCACACAGCTCGCTCTGGGCTAGGAACTCAATCCAAGTCTTCTAGGTGGTTTTGTGGATTCAAAGTTATTTGATTAATGATTTGCTGGCTTCCAGAGTGTGTACCAGCAGGAAGCTGGAATCAGGAACAGGGCAGTGACTCAAAGCCAAGCACTCATCTATGGGATACAGGCTTCCCATTTAGCATCTTTTTTTTTTTTTTTTTTTTGGGTCTGTTTGAAGCTTTCTTTATTTATTGGACAGGCAGAATAACAGTAAGAGAGAGGTATACAGAGAGGTCTTCCATTGCTGATTTACTTTTCAAATGACCACAACAGCCAGGGCGGGGCCAGGCCAAAGCCAAGAGCCTGGAACTTCCTCAGGTCTCCCACGTGAGTGCAGGGGCCTAAGTACTTTGGCCATCTTCCACTGTTTTCTCAGGCCCATTTTACAACAAATTGAGGTTTGACATGGAGTATCTGGGACTCAGACATGCCTAAATAGGATGTTTATGTCTCAGGCAGGGGCTTAACCCACAGTACTACAATGCTGGCCCATTCAGCATCTTAACCAGTAGGCCAGAATGCCTCCCCACCAACTGAAGTTTGTTTGTTTTCAGTGTTTTTTTTTTTTTTTTCTTTTAAAGACTTACAGTTTTTTATTTGAAAAGCAGAGTTAGACATCTTCCATCTGCTGGTTCACCCCGAAATGGCCACAATAGCTGATGCTGGGCCAGGCTTAGCCAGAAGCCTGGAGCTCCATCCAAGTCCCCCACATGGATTCAGGGGCCTGAATACTTGGGCCATCTTTCACTGCTTTTGTAGGCACATTAGCCAGGAGCAAGCTAGGAAGTGGAGCAGCTGGGACTAGAACCCATGCCCATATGGAATACTGTTGTCACACGTATAGCTAAGCCTCCTGTGCCACAACCTGCTGCACTACAGTGCTGGCCCAAGCTGAAATGTTTTAAAGCAAGCCTGAATATCATATTATGTATCCATAAGCACAGTTTGTATTAACAAATGACACCTTTTAAAAATGTGTACTACAATTCCATTCACTCCCAGTGAAATTAGAAGTGATTGCCTATATCTAATGCCTATTCTACATTCAGATTTATCTAATTATCTAAAAAAATACTTTTTACCAGTTGGTTTGTTTGAATTAGGATTCCAGCAAGGTCCACATTCTGCATTTGTCTTAGGAATTTGTCATCTATAATAGCACTTTGATTTTTCTGTCCTTGGCATTTTTTTTGTTGTTGTTGTTGTGTTTTTTTTTTTTTTTTTTTTTTTGACAGGCAGAGTGGATAGTGAGAGAGAGAGACAGACAGAAAGGTCTTCCTTTGCCGTTGGTTCACCCTCCAATGGCCGCCGCGGCCAGCGTGCTGCGGCCGGCGCACCGCGCTGATCCGATGGCAGGAGCCAGGAGCCAGGTGCTTTTCCTGGTCTCCCATGGGGTGCAGGGTCCAAGCACCTGGGCCATCCTCCACTGCACTCCCTGGCCACAGCAGAGGGCTGGCCTGGAAGAGGGGCAACCGGGACAGAATCCGGCGCCCCAACCGGGACTAGAACCCGGTGTGCCGGCGCCGCTAGGCGGAGGATTAGCCTAGTGAGCCGCGGCGCCGGCCCTGTCCTTGGCATTTTTATATCATCTGTTCTATGGGATTTTCCACATGCTGACTTTAACTGATTATATCATCTTGTTATCCAGCAAGTTCCTCTACTTTCCCTTCTTCCCCTCATGGCTGTTTGATAGATACAGAGGTTCAACATAATTAGATAAAAATTTGTTTTAACAGAGTGAAAATGAATTACACTGACATATAGATTCCAAAGTGTGATTTTTATGAGGACTAAGAGGAAAAGGGTACTCCATTTTATTATGATAAGGATCTAGGTTGCTATTGAGCAAGTAGTGTGTTGTGATATAAGTGGTATCCATGGAGTTGGTTAGTAAGGTTTCTTTCTAACAATTAGAGAAACTTTTCTGGTAAGACCTTATTAATTGGAACACCACCTAGAAATAGTCTTGATGGGATTTTTATCCTAATTTACAAGTGCTGGTTGATTGTTAAAATCATCCTTTATTTTCTTACAGTGGTTTTTGGATCGCATGGCTGATGATGACTGGTGGCCAATGCAGATACTAATTAAGTGCCCTAACCAAATTGTGAGACAGGTAAGAAAGAATGATTTTGAGAAGGAACTATATTATTCTAAGTTTACCTGCGAATATGTTTTGTTTTAACTAACATTGAAAATAATTCCAAAAGGTCTCGTATGATAGAAGTCATTTTATAGTATTGTTTTTACTAGCCTCTTTTAGCATCAACATTTCTCTATAATACCATTTCCTAGACATAGGAAGATAAGTTATAAACTTCTGTTCTTCTCCTTATTTGGATGCTTTATTAATTGTACTGATTCTTTCTGAGATCTTTAGATGTTTTAACTGTGGCAGGGTACTCTACAAGGGCCTCAAAAGATAAATGAATAGGAAGTGACTCATTTCTGTAACAAGATCTGAATGGTCAAATGAATCCATTGTTTTCCCTACATCATTGAAAAAATTGGACAGTGAAAATAAAATGTATAATCATTTATAATACAGAAACCAAACTGAATTTGAATTATTTCACTTTGTAGATGTTACTGAGAATACAATTCTTTCATTTTAAGATTCACCTAAACTTTCAAAGTGTAAAATTGATTGGTTTTGCCAGCGCCACGGCTCACTAGGCTAATCCTCTGCCTTGCAGCGCCAGCACACTGGGTTCTAGTCCCGGTCGGGGCGCCGGATTCTGTCCCGGTTGCCCCTCTTCCAGGCCAGCTCTCTGCTGTGGCCCGGGAGTGCAGTGGAGGATGGCCCAAATCCTTGGGCCCTGCACCCGCGTGGAGACCAGAAGCACCTGGCTCCTGGCTTCGGATCAGCGCGGTGCGCCGGCCGCAGCGGCCATTGGAGGGTGAACCAACGGCAAAAGGAAGACCTTTCTCTCTGTCTGTCTCTCTCTCTCACTGTCCACTCTGCCTGTCAAAAAAAAAAAAAATTGATTGGTTTTAAGTATATTTAGAGTCTTGGAGCCATTACCAACTATCTAGTTTTAGAGTTTTAATCAACTCAAAAAGAAGCCCCTAACCTATTAGCAGTCTGTTTTTTTCCCTTCTTTTCTCCTCATTGCTCGACAGTAACCTACTTTCTGTCACTATGAACTTGCCTATTTTGACCTTTACATATAAGTAGAATCATACCGTATGTGATCTTTTATGACTTGCTGCTTTAATTTTGCATTCTCTTCTGGGTAATCTGTTACAGCATGTTTCTTTACTTCCTTTTTTGCCAAATAGTATTTCATAGAATGGGTATACCACATTTTGTTTATCCAGTCATCAGTTGATGAACATTTGAGATGTTTCTACTTTTTGAGCTCTGTGACCATTTGTGTTACAAGTATTTCTTCAGACATATGCTTTCTTTTCCTTTGGGTACCTACTTAAAAGTGGACTTGCTGGTTAATATGGTCAGTCACTCTTACATTTAACATATTCAGGTTTACTAAACTGTTTTCACAGCAGCTGGACCATGTTACATTCCTCCTATGAATATATGAGGATTCCATTTTGCTGTTGTCTTTTTTAATCATCCTAATGGAAATGAAGTTTATCTGAACAGTGGTTTTGGTAATGACATTGAATATCTTTCCATGTACATGTTGGCCATTCGTCTTTTTTTTTTTTTAAGGTTTATTTTATTTTTTTGAAAGGCACAATTAGAATCTTTATCTGCTGGTTTACTCTCCAGATAGCTGCAATGGCCCGTTCTGGCCAGATTGAAACCATGAGCCAGGAGCTTCTTTCGAGTCTCCCACATGACTGCAGAAGCCCAAGCATTTGGGCTATCTGCTGCTGCTTTCGCAGGTGTATTAGCAGGGAGCTGGATCAGAAGTGGAGCAACCAGGACTGAAACCAGTACCCATAAGGGATGCTGGCATAGCAGGAGGCAGTCTTACTTTTGGTGCCACAATGCCTCAGTTTTTGTATGTCTTTTTTAGAAACTCTCCAGCCATTTTTAATCCATACATCTTTTGAATAAACTTAAAACATACTTCTTTCTCCTGGCTTTTGACCCTCTAATTAGCTTCCATACCCCATTCCTTTCTTCTCAAAGAGGTAGATGTTGAATACTGCTTTCTCTGGATCTTCATTAGCTAAGAGGATTTTATAAAGCTTTGTTTTTGGTGACCCGTGTTACTGAAACTGTAATTTGTTGGGTTTCCCCTGCCATTATAAAACTGTATGTTGTGTTTAGTGCTGACTTTGCCTCATCTTCTTCAGTAGTTGAGATTCCAAGAAAACTTTAGAATGTTGCAGAGAGCTTTGAATCTTGTTATCAGTGTCTTTGAAACCTGCTGGTACTTGACTCTCGGGTTGTTACATCTTCACAGATGTTTCAGCGTTTATGTATCCATGTGATTCAGAGACTGAGACCTGTGCATGCTCATCTGTATCTGCAGCCAGGAATGGAAGATGGGTAAGAAGTGCTTTGCTAACAAATGTTAAATGTTTCTAAATTTTTTGATGATCTGCCTACAAAGTAGTTTTGAATGTCAGCACAGGAATATTTAATTTCTTGTGTTGAAAAATCTAAAAAACAAAAGTTAAGAGAAAACATGGAGCCAGCATTGTGGTATATCTGGTAAAAGTGCTACCTGCAATGCCAGCATCACATGTAGGCACCAGTTCATGTCCCAGCTGCTCCATTTCCGATCCAGCTCCCTGCTAATGGTCTGCAAAATCAGTGGAAGATGGCCCAAGTGCTTGGACCCCTGCCACACACGTGGGAGACCTGGAAGAAGCTACTGTCTCCTAACTTCGGCCTTGCCCAGCTTTGACCAGTGAGGCCATCTGGAGAATAAACCAGCAGACAGAAGATCTCTCTGGAACTCTTGACTTTCAAATAAATAAATCCTTTTAAAAATTATTTTTTTAATTTTATTTTTACTTAAGGGTATCTGTAAAATCCGCTACAGTAACTGTATGGATCAGTCTTTTTAATTGGATTGATTTTTGCCAGTCGCAATAATTGGAATGCAGGTACTTAATATTATTATAATGGGTGTTCAACATCAAAACAATATAAATGAGATAGATTTAGGCTTTAAAAATATTTTGCCTCCCAGATTATATCTATCCTTAGGCTTAATGTGTTCTCTGAGATATATTTAATGTGGTAGATAGGCATTTAGCACAAAGGTTAGGTCACTACTTGGGATACCCATATCCCATATCAGAGTGCCTGGTGTCCTGACTCTGCTTCTAACCCAACTTTTCTGCTGTTGTGCATCCTGGGAGGCAGTGGACAATGACTCAAGTATTTGGGCCTCTGCCACCCACATGGCAGAACTGGATGGTGTTCTGGTTCCTGGCTTTGGCCTGTCCTACTCTAATGGTTGTAGGCGTCCGAGGAGTGGACCGTTAGTGCAAATTTCCTGTCTCTATCACTCTCTTCTGTGTGTGCTTTTGAAATAAAATGAAAATAAAATTTTAAAAAGACACATTTGATTCTTTTTCTAGATCAGATGATATGGACGCCTCAGTAGAAGATATTGGTGGTCGTTCATGTGTCACTCGATTTGTGAGAACTCTGTTATTAATTATGGAACATGGTGTAAAACCTCACAGTAAACATCTTACAGAGTATTTTGCCTTCCTTTATGAATTTGCGAAAATGGGTGAAGAAGAGGTGAGACTATATCTTGTTTATTTCTGGGATTACATACTTGTTTTCAGTGCTTAGAATTAATTTTTTATATTTGAATATTTTTAGAGCCAGTTTTTGCTTTCATTGCAAGCCATATCTACAATGGTACATTTTTACATGGGAACCAAAGGACCTGAAAATGTAAGTATAATTCTCTGTTAAATTAGAGATTTAGAGTCCATGTTTTCAGTAGTTTGCATCATGCAAAGTCATGAGATACTAGAACTGGTTGATATTTTTCACATTTAAATGAGTATAGCAAGAGAAGAATCAAATAATCCAGTTCACTGGTAAGGCCCTAGAACAAAGTAAATGTACTTCAGCAACATGCCACCACTACTTTGAGGTCTTACCAACAGTATGTTATTTGGTGAATGTTTTTGGTGGTCTTATTTTGTGTGCCTTTTGTATTGAGTTTGCCAGAATGTTCCAAACATTTAGATAGCTGGTCATTCTATTAGTAATATTAAAGTATCACATGAAGTTTATATTGTCCATGACAGTCACATTGGATTGCATGATCTGTTTGCACTAAGTTAATTTTCTCTTAACCCTGAGTACTGTTTTTATCTACATTTGACAGACAAGGTACTTGCACCTTAGGGAAATTTATTTTAAATCACAGTGAGTTGGGCTTTGATCTTCAGGCAGATCACTGAGCTGAACCTTATAAACTTATAATGCTTCAGAAAATGTGAGCTGGTGTTTTCTTTCTTTTTTTTTTTAAGATTTATTTATTTATTTGAAAGTCAGAGTTACACAGAGAGAAGGAGAGGCAGAGAGAGAGAGGTCTTTCATCCACTGGTTCACTCCCCAGTTGTGGCCGGAGCTGCGCCAATCCAAAGCCAGGAGCTTCTTCTGGGTCTCCCACGTGGGTACAGGGGCCCAAGCAATTGGCTATCTTCCACTGCTTTCCCAGGCTATCACAAAGAGCTGTATCAGAAGTGGAGCAGCCAGGACTCGAACCGGCACCCATATGGGAACCAGGCACTGCAAGGATTTATCCCTTATGACATTGTTCTTTCCAGTTCTACCAGTTCAATCTAAACGTGTCCTGAGTGTGGATTAGATTGTTCATGTTAGAATTAGGCCTTTCAGTGATTATTTGTCATGATCCATGCTCCTGTCACCATCTGCTTGGTAGTTATATAAAAGAATACCTGTATTCTCTATATGATGTTCAAACTAATACCATATTGAAATTGAGCTTTGTTTCACTTAGCCTCAAGTTGAAGTGTTGTCAGAGGAAGAAGGGGAGGAAGAAGAAGAGGAAGAAGATATTCTCTCTCTGGCAGAAGAAAAATACAGGCCCGCTGCCCTTGAAAAGATGATAGCTTTAGTTGCTCTTTTGGTTGAACAGTCTCGCTCAGAAAGGTGAAATGCTTCAACATTCAAAATGCTTAAAGCATGTCTGATTTTATTCTTTTACTTAATTGTTTGGTCACTGTTAATTCAGTTATTACATAATTTCTTTTGAATAATAATACTGTTCATCAACTCTTGTGGTATAAGAATTTCAGTCCTTTCAGCTTAACTTTTACTTCGTCTCTGAGTTATATTAGATACAATCATTAAAGAAAAATACACAGTAAAATAGCTAGCAAAATTATATGGACATTTATCTCTTAACCTAGCAACTCTACTTCTAGAGACCTATCCCAAAAATAGGGAAAGATGTATATGCAAAGCTGTTTCTAATAACAAAAGATTAGAAGCAGCCAAATATTCACAAAAAGGAAGCTAGTTGAAAAGTTGTTATCTACTCAGTTGAGTGCTCTGTAGCTAAAGGAAGGAAAAACAGAATTTAACTCTGCTGCTGTGGAGAAATTTCTATATTACTAAGTGAAAAAAGCCAGGTGGAGAAAAGTGCCTGTTGTATCTGCATTTCAAGTAAGGGAAGGCAATGGGAGAACACATATGTGTAAGCAGCCAATGTCATTATTTGTGGATTTCTTATTTGTGAATTCACCTTCTTGGTAACATTTGTCATGCCAAAATCAGAACTTGAGGAGCTATTGTAGTCATTTAAACCTGTGTTTATGCAGATTGATGAAACTTGAGTTGCCTGATATATTTTCCCAACTGAGGTCAAAGAAACTGATTATCTGCCTTCTCATTTCAGTTTTCATATTGTAAACAAATGAAATTTTCATAATGTTTGCTGTGCTTTTCTATGTTGATGTTGCTGTTTAAAAAGGCCCCAAGGGCATTGCTAAAGTGCTGGCTAGCATTTGAGCTCAGGAAGGCTGTAATGTGCCTTAGAGTGAAAATATGTGTGTGAAATCATTTCCATACAGGTGTGAATTATAATACTGTGGGCATGAATTCAGTATTGAGTAGTATATGTTAAATGAGGCATCCTTCAATAGAGACATACATACACAAAGTAATGGATTACTGGTAGATGAAAACATTGTGACTAGAGGCTCACAGGAAGCTAACTTTGTATTCCCCTAGGAGTAATGATTTGGTATTTGCTGATTGAGTGTTTATAGCACTTTACAGAACATATCTACCAGCTCTCAAAAATTGACTGTAAATCAAAAACATCTTGAAAAATGGTTTCTGCTGGTGGTGGGAGGCAAAACAAGGGGGAGGGGACAGAAATGGAATCCTGCCAAAATGTTTTATAAACTTAACTTTGGAACCCTGTAAATGTTTTGTATAAATAAATAAATGGATAAGAAACAGTCCCTAAAAGCCAAAAGCACAGTGAAATAAATGCAACTATTGGTACATTAAACAAGGAATATAGCCACTGGAGAGGTACTAAAGTGACTTTAGAACATATTAACTGTAATTTTCTAATGGGATATACATGAAGGGCAAAAAGAATTACAAAACTATCGTAAGCCTTTTGAGTAGTTATATTGTTAATATAATTGGAATTATTCTCATCTATTAGTATGTGTAACTGTTAAGGTCATTAGCAGCCAAGATTTTCAGCAATGGAAGAAAATAGATATAAATAGAGTTGTGGGATTTTATATCATTTATATCATTTCTTTAAAACTACATTTGAATTGGAAATACAGTATGAGTTCATGGTGTATTTTGTCTTAAACAGAAAATGTTACCTACCTTTGTTTTCTGAAAAGGCCTGGTAACCTTGTCTAACCCAGAATCAATAAGTACCCCAGCATGTAGATAGTAGTCTATAAATCTCATTACTTACTGAAAGAATTTGCGTTCCATGGGAAAATGGCCAGTTCCGGGTCTTGGACATGAAATTAATGAGAATTTCGGAGTGTTTTCTTCATTTTGGAAAACCAGGAGGCTGTTTCAGACGTCTGAGGTCATTGTAAAGGAATGTGAACCCTTGTAGGGAGGTTTCTGCTTGCCATAGATGAGAAAGAATCACAGAGGATTGTAAAGCATAACAGATATTTTTATCTATCAGTTCATAATGGTACCTAACAAGAAAATCTGAAAAACTTGTTGACATCCTTTGAAATGTACTAGGAAATCAAATCATTATTTTGAAAACTGAGAAATAAAGACTATCAAGCATCTGTCCTACCTGTAAGAAGTATACCTCACGACAACCAAATGTTGACTCAAGAAAAGTTTGTTATGATAAATATACTGAAGTGAATAAATGAGCAAGGACTGTTGGAATTAGAGTATCACTGTTTTGTGACACCAAATAAAGTAATGGATCTAAACAGTGATCATCATTGATTGAAAATGTTACAATGATTGTGTGCCTCCTGGTTAAATGTATGCACCACCACCTACAAACAACCTTGATTAAAAAGTCAAATCTAGATTTGATCAAGTCTCTAGATCTACTTACCACTTTACAAGATACATGGGAACAGAGGAACATGTTAAGAGCATACTACAAAGATACAATCAGCAAAATACAATTGCAGGAAACTGCAGGACAAACTACCTGCTTTCCTCAACAGATAAATTGCAACAGAAAAACAGTTGGAGGAGAAACCAGTAGATAAAAAGATTTAGAAGACATTTCAACCATTTACAACAAAGGACTATTTGAGTTCAAACAAAGTAACTATATAAAATTTTTTTTAGGAACTTGAGATTCGTACACTGGATATTATATGATAGTAAGGAATTGTTAATTTATTTCAGGTGTGACTGATAATACTGTGGTTGTTTTTAAGATTTATCTGTTAAGACTTGTACTGAGATTTATGGATTAAATGATAAAATACCTGGAGTTTGTCTCAGAATAATACATACTGAGTGGTTGGTGGTACAAATGAAATAAGAGTATGGCTATGATTTTGGTATATTTGAATCTAAGTGAAGGGATGGATACTTGCACCGTTCCATTTTTGTGTATCTGAATTTTTATAATATGTTGAAGTATGCAATAATTTTAAACTGGGAAGTAAAGCTGTAGTATTTCTTAAAACTCCACTTGGTTTTGAAGGATCTTATGTCAAAACAACAACAAACAGTTCTCTACATAAAATTAAACCCATCCTGGTGTTTTAATTTATTAAAATATTGAGATACTGAAATTGAGATAAAGTGGATTTGGGTTTCCATTTACCAATCCTGCAATCTTGAGAAATTGCCTGGAAGATGTTTAGCAAGGAAGTATAGCAAAAAATAACAAAATTAGCGTTAAAAATAGTGGGTTGGTACAGATGTAATTGAATCAATGATTTTGATGCATGTCATAATATAAGTAGCTATAAAGTAATACAGAGGGAAGAAAAATTTATTTCCACTAATATTTTCTTTTAGGCATTTGACATTATCACAGACTGATATGGCAGCACTTACAGGAGGCAAGGTAATAACTTCTCCAGTTTTAGACAAATTGGGTATTGTAAAAATAATAACAGTTCTTAAATGAAAAACTTTTGCTTTTAACAGGGATTTCCCTTCTTGTTTCAACACATTCGTGATGGCATCAATATAAGACAAACTTGTAATCTGATTTTCAGCCTGTGTCGATACAATAATCGACTTGCAGAACATGTAAGTTCTAAGAAACAGTTTTAAAATTTTTTACTAATTTTGCAAAGAATATTCTGAAATCCTTTTTCTTTTCCAGATTGTATCTATGCTCTTCACATCAATAGCAAAGTTGACTCCTGAGGTAGGTAAACATTTATTCATGTTTTTCTTTTAAAGATTTATTTATTTGAAAGAGTTACAGAGAGAGGTAGAGACAGAGAGAGGTCTTCCATCCACTGGTTCGCTCCCCAGATGGCTGCAACAGCCAAAGCTGAGCCGATCTGAAGTCAGGAGCCAGGTGCGTCTTCCACTCAGGTGCAGGGGCCCAAGGCTTTGGGGCCGTCTTCTACTGCTATCTCAGGCCATAGCAGAGAGCTGGATTGGAAAAGCAGCAGCCGGCACTAAACCAGCGCCTGTATGAGATGCTGGTGCTTCTTTCCAGGGCTTTAACCCTCTATTGTCAGCACTGTTAGTATTTTGAAATGGGCCTTTCTTATTTTTTAGTATGTCATTTGAATAAATGGAATTATGTCTTCCTGTAATACAGTTTTCCTAATAAAATATATACATATAAATTTAATATATCTGAGTGCCATCTAAATGCTCTTTTTTTTTAAGACTTATTTATTTATTTTGAATTCAGAGATCTTCCATCTGTTGAGTCACTCCCCAGATGGCTGCAATGGCCAGGGCTGCCCCAGGCCAAAGCCAGGAGTTTCATATGGGTCTCCCATGTGGGTGTCAGGCCCAGAACACTTGGGCTACATTTTGCTGCTTTTCCCAGGCCATTAGAATGAGATTGGATGGAAAACAGAGCAGCTAGGACAGGAACCAACGCCTTTATGGGATGCTGGTGTCACAGGTGGTGGCTTTACCTGAAATACCAGCTCTTACCTGCTAAACTTAGAAGATGTTTGATTTGAATCATGCATCATCACTGCCCAGTTCAAACAGTAGACTAACTCTAGGACTCTGTGGAAAATAGAATGCAATACCATATGAAAGTATTCTCTCTCTCTCTCTCTTTTTTAATTATTTAAGAAAGCAGAGCTACAAAGAGAGTGTGAGAGACAAGGAGAGGTCTTTCATTGCTGGTTCACTCCCCAAATGGCTATAATGGCTAGGGCTGGACCAGGCCGAAGCCAGGAACCAGGAGCTCCCTCCAGGTCTCTCCATGAATACCGGGGCCCAAGGACTTAGGCCATCCTCTGCTGTCTTCTAAGGCACATTAGCAGGGATCTGGATCAGAAACAGAACAGCCAGGACTTGAACCAGCACCCATTTGGGATGCTTGTGCCACAGCTCCAGTCCCATGAAAGTTTTTTTTCTTTTTCTTTTTTTTTTTTTTTTTTAATTATTTAGAGGGCTGGCACTGTGGCGTAGCCGGTAAAGCTGCCATCTGCAATGCAGGCATCCCATATGGGTGCCTGTTTGAGTCCTGGCTGCTCCTCTTCAGATACAGCTCTCTGTTATGGCCTGGGAAAGCAGTAGAAGATGGCCCAAGTCCTGGGTCCCTGCACCCATGTGGGAGACCCAGAAGAAGCTCCTGGCTCCTGGCTTTGGATCAGCCTAGCTCCAGCCATTATACCTAATTGGGGAATGAACCAGTGAATGGAAGATCTCTCCCTCTCTCTCTCTCTGCCTCTACCTCTTTGTAACTCTGCCTTTCAAATAAATAAATAAGTGTTTATAAATTGAAGGAGCTACAAAGAGAGAGAGACAGACACACACATACACACACACACACACACAATCTTCGATCTGCTGGTTCAGTCTCCAGATGGCTCCAACATCCAACACTGGGCCAGGCTGAGGCCAGGGGTTCTTCCAGGCCTGCCATGTGAGTGGCAAGGCTGTAGACGCTTGGGCCATCCTCTACCAGGCCATTAGCAAGGAGCTGGATGGGATGCGAAGTAGCTGGGATTCAAACCAGTACCCATATGGGATGTGGTGGCCTTACCCACTATGCCACAACACCAGCCCTTGAAAGTATTTGTAGAATATGAGAATGTCACCACTACTTTAGCAGTGCATGTATCCTTCAAGATACATTTGCTGTAGTAGTTAAATCTCTACTTAGGCTGCCCATATGCCATATCCAAGTGCATGGTTCAGGTGCCATCTCTCCCACTTCCACTCTAGCTTCCTGCTAATGTGTACCCCTGGGAGGTTGCAGATGATGGCTCTAGTACTTGGATCTCTGGCACCCACTTTGGATACTCAGATTGGGTGTGGTGCAGTCCTGGCTCTTGGTCAAAGATTGATGCAAGAATTTTTTTAAAATATCTATATATTTATTTCAGGCCGGCGCCGCGGCTCACTAGGCTAATCCTCCGCCTAGCGGCGCCGGCACACCGGGTTCTAGTCCCGGTTGGGGCGCCGGATTCTGTCCCGGTTGCCCCTCTTCCAGGCCAGCCCTCTGCTGTGGCCCAGGAGTGCAGTGGAGGATGGCCCAGGTGCTTGGGCCCTGCACCCCATGGGAGACCAGGAAAAGCACCTGGCTCCTGGCTCCTGCCATCGGATCAGCGCGGTGCGCCGGCCGCAGCGCGCCGGCCGCGGCGGCCATTGGAGGGTGAACCAACGGCAAAGGAAGACCTTTCTCTCTGTCTCTCTCTCTCACTGTCCACTCTGCCTGTCAAAAAAAATAAAAATAAAAAAAATAAAAAATAAAATATCTATATATTTATTTCAAAGTCAGAGTTACAGGGAGAGAGAAAGATCAATCTTCCATCTTTGGTTCATCCCCCAAATGGCGACAATAACCAGGGCTGGGCCATGCCAAAGGCTAGAGCTGCATCGTGGTCAGCCACCCTGGTGCAGGCGCCCAACCATTTAGGTCATCTGCTTTCCCAGATTTTTTTTTTTCTTTTCTTTTTTTTTTTTTTTTTTTTTTCTTTTTTTTGACAGGCAGAGTTAGACAGAGACAGACAGAGAGAAAGGTCTTCCTTCCATTGGTTCACCCCCCAAATGGCCGCTACGGCTGGCGCGCTGCACTGATTCAAGGCCAGGAGTCAGGTGCTTCCTCCTGTTCTCCCATGCGGGTGCAGAACCCAAGCATTTGGGCCATCCTCCACTGCCTTCCCAGGCCACAGCAGAGAGCTGGACTGGAAGAGGAGCAACCGGAACAGAATTCGGCACCCCGACCGGGACTAGAACCTGGGGTGCCAGCGCCGCAGGCGGAGGATTAGCCTAGTGAGCCGTGGCACGGGCCTTTCCCAGATCTTTTTAACAGTGAGCTGGAGCAGGGGAGGGGAGCATCCAGGACATGAACTGGTGTCCCTGCTTGATGCTGGTGTTGCAGGTAGCAGTTTATACTGAGTATGCCACATCAGCCTCAATACAGGAAGTTTTTAATAGAATATGATTGTCTAATTAACAAGATTTATTTTGGAGGTTAGGGGGTATTGATCAAAGGGTGCAATATTTTATTAGATATGGATTAATTTCAAGAGGTCAGTTGTATAACACAGTGACTAGTTAACAATGTATTATTGTGTACTTGAAAATCAGTAGGAGAGTAGATTTTTAGTGAAATTACCACAAAAAAATAAGCATTGAAGTAATGCAAACTGGTAATTCTTCCAATTTAGTCATTCCATGGTGTGTATGTCTGTGTATGTCTGTATGCAGTTAATATATACATGTTTGTCAGTGTATCTAAATACACAGTCACATCTGTCTTACAGGCCGCCAATCCTTTCTTTAAATTGTTGACGATGCTGATGGAATTTGCTGGTGGACCTCCAGGAATGCCTCCCTTCGCATCTTACATTCTGCAAAGGATTTGGGAGGTGAGTTTTGCAGGATGTCTGCAGCCTTTTCATTTTATAATGCAGCCACTGCCATTTTAAGCATCAATACCTTCTTATTTGTGTACCCCCAAAAAGGTTTTAGTAAGTCACAGTTTCAAGGAAAAAGAGGAGCTTTAGTCACAAGGGCTGGGGAAGGGAGGAAGGTTTTTAGCCAGTCTCCCATATTAAAAACTAATAGTTCAGCCAGTGTGAAGGTCTCATTTCCCTGCCCTCAAAAAAGATTCTGGAAAGCAAGTAGGAACCCTAAAAGTAACAAATGTTTCCAGTAGTTGACAAAAATGATAGAGCAAGCACCAACCACTCCCTTCCTTTCTTTCAAGTTAACTGCTGTGATCACAAAATTTCTCCTTAAAGAATGTTGGAAAAACTCTAGACCAAGGTCAGCCAACCCTTTTTCTGAAGGGCCAAACAGCAAATACTTAAGGCTTTAATGAGCCATGCATCCTCTGTGAAACTCTTCAAGTCTGCTGTTTTAGCCTAAAAATAACCCCAGACAATAAGTAAATGAGTGGGTATGGCTGTATTCTCATAAAGCAGCAAACACAAGCAGCTGTTGAATTGGGCCTGTTGGCCATGTTTTGCTCTTTTCCAGATCCTGAGATTCCCCTTTGCTATGAAAAAAAATCTCCCCAAAAGTGCAGTGAGCTACCTCACATTCTCACTTAAGAGTAGTAAGTTGAGTATGAAATAAGAAACATAAAGATGAAAAACTTCAGAGAATTAAAAGAACTTTTAAATAATTGTAAGTTTAGGCGGGCACCACGGTTCACTAGGCTAATCCTCCTCCTCCTGCACCGCCGGCACCCCGGGTTCTAGTCCCAGTCTGGGTGCCGGATTCTGTCCTGGTTGCCCCTCTTCCAGTCCAGCTCTCTGCTGTGGCCTAGGAGTGCAGTGGAGGATGGCCCAAGTGCTTGGGTTCTGCACCCACATGGGAGAACAGAAGGAAGCACCTGGCTCCTGGCTTCGGATCAGTTTGGTGCACCAGCCACAGCACACCGGCCGCAGTGGCCATTGAGGGGGTGAACCAATGGAAAAGGAAGACCTTTCTCTCTGTCTCTCTCTCTCACTGTCCACTCTGCCTGTCAAAAAAAAAGTAATTATAAGTAAAGAGATCTTAGTCATTGAGTTCTCACGTTTGTCCTATGAAGTCCTTGGTTATTTTAAATTTATTTTGAGAATAGATTTTCCTGAACATTTCCTTTTGGTAAGAAAAAGTAGCTTTGAAAATGGGAAAAAGAGAAAACTTCACTGAGACTCTAGTTTTCAAAAAATGACTTCAGCTATAAGTGTTTAATGGCATATACCAAAAAGAAGTATAAAAAGTAACTGCTCATTCAGTTGGCCTCATATTCTGTTCTTGTCATTTTTATTTGTAGGTGATTGAATACAATCCTTCTCAGTGTCTGGATTGGTTGGCAGTACAGACACCCCGAAATAAACTGGCACACAGCTGGGTCCTACAGAATATGGAAAACTGGGTCGAGCGGTTTCTTTTGGCTCACAATTATCCTAGAGTCAGGACTTGTAAGTCAAATGTTCAGAATTTAACAAGCCGTTTATTGTTCCAAGTTTAGGGTTTTTGTTTTTGTTTTAAGACAACTGATATTCCCATTTGCTATGCTCTTAGATCCGTTATCAAAGGCCAAAGTTCTATCAGTATTTTGAAACATGTAACATTGTTTTACAAATATTTGCAGTGTTTTGTTTCATAAAGGAGAGAAAAACATGCATCCTTTGGGTGACATCACCACTTCCATTTTTGTTTCTTTCAGAGAATGACAAAGCACAATCAACATTAGGAAAGGGAGTAAAATATCAGAAACTTTTACCTTAAAAGTAACTATTGAGGAAGCTAAGAGTAAAATACTAATAAGGGCATAAAATAATCTGAGAGATAATATTAACTGAAATTTTGAGTTAAATATTAAACACCATTGTACACAAGTCAGTAAAGAATAAAGATCTTAGAAGACAGATGGACAAATATCAAAAGCAGTTATTTTGCAGGATTTAAACTTATTTGTATATAAATAGAATATGTTCATCTTGATAGTTCAAAGAAAATAAATCAGAATTATTAAGTTTTGAAATTTTTCTGATCTTTGAAAATGTGTTTTCAAGCTGTCCGCTGAGAAGGGCCTACAGTCATTGACAATCTGGTATCAACAAATTCCATACGGCCGGCGCCGTGGCTCAACAGGTTAATCCTCCGCCTTGCAGCGCCAGCACACCGGGTTCTAGTCCCGGTCGGGGCGCCGGATTCTGTCCCGGTTGCCCCTCTTCCAGGCCAGCTCTTTGCTGTGGCCAGGGAGTGCAGTGGAGGATGGCCCAAGTACTTGGGCCCTGCACCCCAAGGGAGACCAGGATAAACACCTGGCTCCTGCCATCGGATCAGCGTGGTGCGCCGGTCGCGGCAGCCACTGGAGGGTGAACCAACGGCAAAAGGAAGACCTTTCTCTCTCTCTCTCTCTCTCTCTCTCTCTCTCTCTCACTGTCCACTCTGCCTGTCAAAAATAAAAAAATTTAAAAAAAAAATAAAAAAAACAAATCCCATAACCCAGATGTTGGATTCTGAACATCATTCTCCAATAAAAGGATTCACAGTTCCTTGGAGAAATAATTTTAGGGCTAGAGCAAGGTATATACCAGAAGAACTTAGTGAATCTTGTAGTGGAAGAAAGTAAGGGAGTACTCAAAACACAAAATCATGGGAGCATGTCCAAGGAACCCAGAACCTAACCTGAAAGTACCTTTCGATGGCTAAAGCTAGAACAAGGAGAGTAATTAAATAACATGGCATACAGCCCAGAGTATAAAATAGGTGCCATGAACCTGTACTGATAAAAATAAATGATGTGTAAAAATAAATGCAGATGAAATGAATATCCCAGATAAAAATTATGGCAAATAACTTAGTGTAACACACTTCCCTGTGCCTCCCCACCTCCACCTGCCAGAGAATGTAGCTTTAACTCCTAAGTCCTTGAGTATGAGTTTCCAAAGAATAGAACACAGGGTAACTTTATAGAACATAACAAATAACTTCATAGTTATTAACACTCAGCCAAGTGATTAAGGTTAACATCATCACAGATAAGTTGATAACATGTGCCCCTGACACAATGTGATGAAAAGGGCTATTCATCAGTTCATCTTTGTGGACATTTTTACAAAAGCCCACAACCTAAGTCTTAACCATGGTAAATGTCAGACAAACGCAGTTTGAGGGACATTCTGTGAAATGCTTGCAAGCTGTCAAGGCCATCATAAGCAAGGAAGGTCTGAGGAACTGTCATAGCAAAGGGAAATTTCAAAGGACAATATGACTAAAGGAACATATCCTAGGTGGGATTCTGGGAGAATTTTTTTTAAAAGACCATTAAAGCAAAGCTAGTGAAATTTAAATACAGTATGAAATTTCATTAACAGTAATATACCAGTGCTGGTTCTTTAGTTACAACAAATGTACTATAGTGAGACTATATGTTACCAGTAGGAGAAACTGGATGAGAGATGTACAGATATTACCTGTTCTAAAATAAAACATTTATTGAGAGAAATATGTATCAGTAAAAAGGACACATGAGTTGGCATTGGCAGTCTGCTTATGGGCTTATTTTTCTTTCCAGTTTAGTTAACCCCATAACAGGATATTTTTAACAGCTGGTCCTGAAACCTGAGCATAAAACAATTAAAAAAAAAAGTCTGTGCTGAACCAAAAAGAACTTTTTAGTCAACTGTTACACCTGATACAAAAGTATTTCAGAAAGTTGATGGAAAATGGAATCAAAATAATAGTTTTATTTTGTTCCTCCAAAATTTGAAATCCAGGCATGTAGTTACTCCTGCAATTCTGAGGAAATGGCATTCTTGTGCACTGTAGTGACATCATAATATTATGCAACAGACTGAAGTTCAACACTATGGATTCAGATGCCTCTTTAACATGATAAAACCATTTCATCGATTGTGGTTTAAGTCATTCAGTATATGAATACCATATTGCATTATTTATAATTGTGAAAAATTAAAAATTCAGTTATGAAAAAAGTTGCTAAATTTCATCATTTTAAAATTATAAGTTCTTCAAAGAGTTTATAGAAAACATATCATGAAAAAATGCATGGATTTCAAAATTTTTTGCATCAAAATAAATTTTAACTTTGAGTTGAGTTCCATTTTTCCATAAACTTTTTTAGTAGCCTCATATGATTGTTAACATTGTATAATAATAATAAAAAAGATAGATGCAGGTATTCTTAAATTATAACAAAGCAGTTTTTAACAGATTGTCTCTTTTTCCAGTTTAACTTTCTTAACAGTTCTCAAACACAAACATAATTTCAAAATTGTGTTTTTCTCCCTAGCAGAATTTATTTTTGCTTAAAAGCATACAGCTATTTATATAAATGAAGGTACACTTAGGTATGTGATGAAGCAAAGCCGAAATGTCATTGAGTAGCTTTTTTTTTTTCAACTTTTTAGTATGTTGGAAAATATTCTTATTAAATTGTTGAAGTAATACTGTATAACTTAAACCAACTTTTTAAAATTATAAGTTACTTTTCTCAATTGCTATTTTCTGCAGAAATTGAGCAGGGTGATATCCACATGCCAAATTCTTACATTTGAAACAATACCAAAGTAAGCCTAAAAATATCAAACTAACCAGAGTAGTATATAAATAAAGACATATGCAAAAAATGGAGTTTGTGCACAGTTTTAATTTGAAATTAATTTATGGCCGGCGCCGTGGCTCACTAGGCTAATCCTCCGCCTTGCGGCGCCAGCACACCGGGTTCTAGTCCCAGTCGGGGCGCCAGATTCTGTCCCGGTTGCCCCTCTTCGAGGCCAGGTCTCTGCTATGGCCCTGGAGTGCGGTGGAGGATGTCCCAAGTGCTTGGGCCCTGCACCCCATGGGAGACCAGGAGAAGCACCTGGCTCCTGCCATCGGATCAGCGCGGTGGGGCGGCCATTGGAGGGTGAACCAATGGCAAAAGGAAGACCTTTCTCTCTGTCTCTGTCTCTCACTGTCACTCTGCCTGTCAAAAATTAAAAAAAAAAAAAGAAATTAATTTATAAAATAAAATATAATTGATTTTTGAAACCATGACTTATTTGCTTTGACAGCATGATAGAGAAAGTATCAAATTATGGTAGAATGGCAGGAGATAGAACTAGTAGTGGGTGTTTTGAAAAGAGCCAAAAGTCTCAGGCATGAGAGTCTTAGAAAGGATCTGTGACAGATGTTGTTTCTGGGTTTAGCCCATCAGAATGGGTTTGAATCCCAGCTCTGCCACTAACTGTGTACATCTGGGGTAGTCCTAGATTAAGCCTGAATGAAGGTTAGGATAGTAAAAGCATTGCCTACCACATAGTTATTCTGTCCAGTAGTGTACACTGTATAAACATTAGCAATTCTTGTTAATACTGTTAATGTTTGTTTTTACCATTGTCTTTATCTTCATTGTATTTTACCATTGTTTTTTAAAGCCTGATCTGGGCCCTTCTTCTTTATCTGTCTTTGCCTCTGTAAGATTCAGGTTTTTCCATTTACCATCACTTATATCCAGGCTGATTATGAGGACTAAATTAGATTTTTATAAAGTACCTATCTCAGTACCTTGCACATAGTATCTGCTTTTAGAAGTGGATTCTGTTAAGTCATTAGCTGCTCAGAATTATAATAGTCTTAATGATGGCTTTCAGGTATATTGAAAGATAAAGTCTTTCAAGTAAGAAGAAATGTAAGACCATAAAATGTTAAATAATTTAACTATGCTAGGCAGTTTTGGGTGGATCTTCTGTCTCCATGGGCTGTTTTATTCTAGAAATCATATTCTTTGCTCAGAATAAATAAAAGATTACATTAACCACTACAATTCTACATCTTGGGGAAGCCAAACAAGAGATTTTAAAACTTTCTGAGGAGCCAGGCATTTGGCACAGAGGTTAAGATGCTGCCTTTAGCTTCCTGCTAATGTGAATACTGGAAGGTAGCAGGTGATGGCCTCAAGTACTCGTGCCCCTGCCACCAATATGGGTGACTCTGAGTTCCAGGTTCCTGGTTTCAGCCTGGCCCAGCCCCAGTTGTTGGAGGCACTTGGGGAGTGAACCAGTGGATAGGTCTCTCTCTCTCTCTCTGCCTTTCAAATAAATAAAAACAATTCAAAAAAAATTTTAAAAAGCCTGTTTGAGGGTGGGCATTTGACCCTGTGTTTAAGATGCCAGCATCTCATATGCAAGTACCTGACTCCAGTTTCTGATGCCAGCTTCCTCCTAATGCAGAATCTGGGAGGTAGGGATGATGGCTCATGTGTAACAGGTATCTGCTACCCACATAGAAGACTCAAATTGAGTTCCTGGCTCCTGGTTTTGGTCTTGGCCTAGTCTGTAATCACAGGCATTTGGTGGTGGGGGTAGGGGTGCATCAATGGCTTTGTGCACGGGCAACTCTCTACCTCTCTCTATGTCTCAAAGTAAAAAAAAAAAGTGTTAATGGCATTAGTTGCCACTTAAACAATGATGGCAGAATGAAAGGTATTGGTGGTTTCTGTCGCACCTTGGAGTGTTTTTGAGGGCCAAGGGTAAAGCAGAAAGATATTAAGAGTGATGTTCATGTCCCTTAATTTATATTCATTTTAATTATTAAAGGGAAGAGTGGCTTTGTGTTTAATGACTGCTCTTCAGTCTATTTATATCTTATAAGGATCTGACAGTTTTGTTTTACATTTTATAGCTGCAGCTTATCTTCTGGTGTCCCTTATACCAAGCAATTCATTCCGCCAGATGTTCCGGTCAACAAGGTCTTTGCACATCCCAACCCGTGACCTTCCACTCAGTCCAGACACAACAGTAGTCCTACATCAGGTCTACAACGTGCTCCTTGGTTTGCTCTCAAGAGCCAAACTTTATGTTGATGCTGCTGTTCATGGCACTACAAAGCTAGTGCCCTATTTTAGCTTTATGACTTACTGTTTAATTTCCAAAACTGAGAAGCTGATGTTTTCCACATATTTCATGGATTTGTGGAACCTTTTCCAGCCTAAACTTTCTGAGCCAGCAATAGCTACAAATCACAATAAACAGGCTTTGCTTTCATTTTGGTACAATGTGTGTGCTGACTGTCCAGAGAATATCCGCCTTATTGTTCAGAACCCAGTGGTAACCAAGAACATTGCCTTCAATTACATCCTTGCTGACCATGATGATCAGGATGTGGTGCTTTTTAACCGTGGGATGCTGCCCGCCTACTACGGCATTCTGAGGCTCTGCTGTGAGCAGTCTCCTGCATTCACTCGACAACTGGCTTCTCACCAGAATATCCAGTGGGCCTTTAAGAATCTTACGCCACATGCCAGCCAATACCCTGGAGTGAGTAAAATTGTTACTCTTGTATCTGTATCCTAAAACTGATTGGAAATAATCTGTTTTCCCCTTGTGGGAAATGGTGACAAAATATAGAAGAATGGTTTTAAGTTAGTACTTAATATATATTTGCTTTCTTGAATACACATATGTTTGTAGAAGATATTTCTTAGGTTGAAGTTAAAATGTTTTCTATAATGGAATTTACCTTTTTCAATTTGTGGTTTTGAAAAGATAACTTTCATGTGTACCAAATGAAAAAAGTCTGCCCTGTGGTACAGTTTAGGAAAATTGAGTACTTTAATAGGTATTCATTATGAAGATCTACATGCTTTGTTAGGCTATGTGCTAGACACTATTTTATCCTAAGCCTGTACCTATTGTTTCTGAAGCTACAACCAAGTAAATGAAATGCCCAAGAAGTGTCAGGGTACAAGGATGCAGTCTAAATCTGATCCTTTTGCTCTGCAGACTATTTGTAGATTTAATATTAGATTTTTTCCATATATAAAACCTTTATTCCTGGATACTACTTTAATTACTAAATATGATAGCTAGAATAGAATATACCTCTGACAAGTGTTAAGTGAGTTAGAATGCTTATTCCCTGTGTTGTTGCTTGCCCTTGATGTCAGTGACGTGTAATGCATTTTGTGGTAGAATCTTAATAGATTTTGACAGAAATGGTGCTTACATCTGTTTTTGCTATAAAGTATAAAATTGAAGATTTCAGTTCATAGATACGTGTTTGAAAAGCAGTCCTTACCTAACTGCACATAAGTGAATTTAGAAAATCACAACTATTGATTTTACTAAAATATTAGTTATTATATGTCATCTATCAGGAATGTCAACTAAGCATTCATCACAAAGAGTTATCTCAGAAACACTTTTAAATCAAGTATAACTTAGACATGTAAATCTTTCTAACAAAGTAATGATTTCTCCTTATTAAATATAAAGGGACAGAGAATTGGCCTAGCCTGTCTCTGGATACAGATTTGAACTAGTGCTTTAAATGATGTTAAAACTAAAAATTATATTTACTTGTAGTTTTTAACATCTAATCTTTGATTTTAAAATTTCTTGATTTTTTTTAGTGTACAATGGGAGGGTTTTTTAAAAAGTTCCATGGAAAATGTAAGAAGAAACTAAGTATTTTGCTGCAAAAAATTCTGAAATCCACACATATTTTTATAATGGGCATTTTCCATGGATTTTGAAAGATCCTCCTATGGTTTTTTTTTTTTTTTTTTCTTTAAAATAGAATTAGTAATTAGTGCAGTTTTAAGTAGTGGCTAGTGAGTATAACATTCAAAAGTAAGAAGTGGATGCTTTACAGTATTATAGGATTAAAAGAACCTCATCATGTTTATTTACCTTTTTTAGGCAGTGGAAGAACTATTTAATCTGATGCAGCTCTTTATAGCTCAGAGACCAGATATGAGAGAAGAAGAACTAGAAGATATTAAGCAGTTTAAGAAAACAACCATAAGTTGTTACTTACGTTGCCTAGATGGCCGCTCCTGCTGGACAACTTTAATAAGGTAATAACAATGTTTTCTGTTGTTTTTTTGTGTGTGCCATTTGTTTCGTTTTTCCAAGTGAGGAGATGGAGACCATCCTTTTGACATTAAAAGAGAAATAATTTATATTATTAATAACAGTTTAGTAATTTCATATTAAGGTTATTGGGGAAGTGCCTGTGCATTTAGACACATTGGAAGAAGTCATATTTTGAGCAATTTTTGCAGTTTTTCTTTTGGTTTGTATTTTTGTGTCGTTTTATCACGATCCTAGGGCTCCAGGGACCCTTACTGTACAATCTTCCCAAACTTTGAACTATCTTTTCTATGGCAGCTCATCCTAACTTAACACTTGAGTAGTTCAGTTGTAGAGGCCTCCAGAAACTGAGTTCTCCATCTTTAGTCAAATCTGTTGTTAGGTTTTCCTTCTTGTTTGCCCATATCTATGGGTTTGGCTTTATTTTCTGTAGGAATTGGCCAGAATAACAAAACGTATATTTTACAATTAATTGTTCATAGCTACAGAAGTTACTGAATGGCTGCAAAGGAACTGCTATAGATTACACTTAATTCCCTTCACCTGTAGAAATTTGTTCAGGCTAATTTCTTTTTCCTCCTCCTCCCCTTCCCCTTCCTCTTCCTCTTCCTTTCTTGATTTGAAAGGCAGATTTACAGAGAATCAGAGGTAGAGAAAAAGAGAGAAGTCTTCCATCTGCTGTTTCACTCCCAAATGGCCACAACAGCCAGAGCTGGGCCAATCTGGAGCCAGGAGCTTTCTCTGAGTCTCCCCTGCTGGTGCAGGGGCCCAAGCACTTGGACCATCTTCCACTGCTTTCCCAGGCCATAGCAGAGAGCTGGATCGGAAGTGGAACAGCTGGGACTTGAATTGGTGCCCATATGGGATGCCGACAGTGCTGGCATCAGTTTTACTCACTGTGCCATGGTGTCAGCCCCTCAGGCTAATTTCTTAAAATGCCTCTCTGTATTAGGTCTAAGACTTAGAGATTATGTCCTTTCTTAGGCACACTTTAAAAAAAAAATTATTTGAAATGCAGAGTTACAGAGAGGCAGAGGCAGAGGCAGAAAGAGAGTTCCATCCACCGGTTCACTCTCCAAATGGCCGCAACGGCTGGAGCTGTGCTGATCCAAAGCCAGGAACCAAGAGTTTCTTCTGGGTCTCCCACATGGATGCAGGGACCCAAGTACTTGGGCCATCTTCTACTGCTTTCCCAGGCCATAGCAGAGATCTGGATGGGAAGTGGAGCAGCTGATACTCTCCCGGCGTCCATAGGGGATGCCAACATTGCAGACAGTGGCTTTACCCGCTAAGCTACAGCACCAGCCACACTATTTTTTTTTTTTTTAACAGGCAGCATGGACAGTGAGAGAGAGAGAGAGAGAAAGGTTTTCCTTTTCCATTGGTTTACCCCCCAGTGGCCACTGTGGCCGGCGCACCACGCTGATCCGAAGCCAGGAGCCAGGTGCTTCTCCTGGTCTCCCATGTGGGTGCAGGGCCCAAGGACTTGGGCCATCCTCCACTGCACTCCCGAGCCACAGCAGAGAGCTGGACAGGAAGAGGAGTGACCGGGACAGAATCTGGTGCCCCAACCAGGACTAGACCTAGTGTGCTGGCGCCGCAAGTAGGGAGGATTAGCCTATTAAGCCGCGGCACTGGCCTCCAAACACATTCTAATGTAGTAAAGCACACATCTTAATGTAGTAAAGCCACGTGGGGTTCATATAGTAACTTACTTCTCTGCAATGGGAGGACTGTCGTAATTCTCAGAACTTTTTAAACAATACCTTATCATATACCTCACTGGGATATCTTAAACTAATCAACACAAGATAAGGTTATCTTCGATGATTTTCTTCAGAAAGCTTTTAAATTTGAATCTTCACTAAGTACACAAGTGAAATTAACTATGCCTTTGCCAGAACTCTTTAAAAGGAATCATTTAAAATTTTTGGCATCAATTTTATGTATTCTTTTCCCAAGGTTTGCTAGTTAAAGCTCATTAAAAAATAAGGTTTGTAAAACAACATTTATAGAACTACTTTGGTAATGGTTAATAAGTTATTTTCAAGATCAACATTTTTTTTTGTCGTTTTTTCCTCCTTTATTTTTTTTCTCATTTTTCCTCCTATGTTGTTCTTTCTTTCCTGATAGGTGCTTTGATAATATATTGTATTATTAGCCAGAACTTAACAATGTAGAAAAACAAATCCATTACAAAAATCAACACTGTTTACACTGAAACTTTGAAAATATTCCTGTCATAACTGTCTTCTACCATCATGGAGTTGAGTAGAGGGGGCTGACGCTGTGGTACAGGGGTAAAACTGCCACCTGCAGTGCTGGCATCCCAATTGGGTGCTGGTTCGAGTCCCAGCTGCTCCACTTCCGATCCAGCTCTTTGCTATGGTCTGAGAAAGCAGCATAAGATGGCCAAAGTCCTTGGGCCCCTGCATCTGCATGGGAAACCCAGAAGAGGCTCCTGTCTCCTCGGTTCAGTTCGGACCAGCTCCAGTCATACTGGCCATTTGGAGAGTGACCCGGCAGAAGAAAGATTTCTTTCTCTCTCTCCCACTGCCTCTCTGTAACTGCATTCCAAAGAAATAAGTAAATCTTTTTTTTTTTTTTTAAAGTTGACTAGATACTAACTAGTGTTTCTTTAAGTTACTCAAAGGGCGGCCTTTCTGCCTTTTTTGAACAAAGTTTGCGTGTGCATTGTTACTTCCTTTTTCTTTTCTTTTTTTTTTAAGATTTATGTATTTATTTGAGAGGCAAAGTTAAAGACACAGAGGGAGAGACAGAGAGATCTTTGATCCACTGGTTCACTCCCCAAATGGCTGCAACAGCCAGAGCTGGGCCTATCCAGAACCAGGAGCTTCTTTTGTGTTTCCCAAGTAGATGCAGGGGTCTAAGCACTTGGGCTATCTTTCACTGTTTTCCTTGGCACATTAGCATAAAGCTGGATTGAAAGTGGAGCAGCTGGAACTTGAACTAGTGTCCGTATGGGATGCCAGCACTACAGGCAGAAGCTTAACCTACTCTATGCCACAGGGCCAGCTGGCCCCTCAGTGTTACTTCCTTTGATAAATACTGATAGATATCTCTTATCCCAAATGCTTACGACCATAAGTGTTAGTTTTCCAAGTTTTTTAGATTTTAGAATGTTTGCACAGGCTTTACCAGTTGAACATCCCTAATCTGGAAATCTGAAATGCTCCATTAAGTTTTCAAATTTTAGAGCATTTTTGATTTCCAACTTTCATATCTGGGATTCTCAACTGTACTGCACTACCAAAAAACAAATGTAGCAGTTTCTTTTTCTGGAGTTAAGAGAGCAGAGAGCTTAAACTGAAGTTTTACTTCTGTGTTTTCATCAGCCAATTGTTCTGTTCTAATTCAGAGTTCTCAAACTGAACTTTATTCTTCTAGTGCCTTCAGAATACTATTAGAATCTGATGAAGACAGACTTCTTGTTGTATTTAATCGTGGGTTAATCCTGATGACTGAGGTAAATATTTACTGCGTTTTACTGTGGGTTTATCTCATTGTAATATTTTCATCAAGAATCATTTGAAATAGACTTTTTTTTTTTCTTCAGTTGTAAGGATAGATATGAAGCCCATGGGATTTAACTAAGGGCACATATAATTTCCAAACAGGGCAGTTATTTGACACAGTACAGCACTGAGATTAGCTTTATCAGATGAATCCAGTGAGACTGTCACGGGTGATTAAAATCTGCTGTTCCTTCTTCCCATAGTGCGAAATGGTTTTAAAGCATCATGCAGGTAAAACATAAGAGTACATGCTAAGAGTACCTTAAGAATTAAGGAGTAGTATAGTTTGTTAAGCTAATACATAGAATAGGAAGAAGACATCTTTGAAATCACACTTTGAAGAATTTGGGGTTGAAAGGGCAAGTGGGAGAGTAGGTAAATGCCTTCATGAGCACAGAGGCCAGGAAGAATTGGTTGTATTTGAGGAATGCCAAATAACTTGGCTGTGGCCATGAAGAGAAGCAGTGAACATTTCACTGAAGAGCTTCTTGACTGTCTACTGTTGTTAGGCTGTGCTGGAAACTGGGACACAGCATTGAGTTACTGTCCTCACAGCTTACAGGTTAAGTACTGTGCAGGTGCATTGTTCAGATGTGGTGATGTCACAGCATCTAGGTGAGGCATTTTGGAATTAATTGTGACTGATTATTTATAGATTGATGAACTGCTTTAATAGGATTAGAGAAAGGATGTTTCTTTGTAAAATGCAATAGAAAAACTCAGGGTCTAAGTAATCTAAAGTATTCGAGCTCTGAAGATGAATTGGATGGGGGAATGGCTTGTGTATGGAAAGCACATAGGATTGCACACACATATATACACATGGTGATTCTAAACACATACATCATAGAAGAGGAACACAACCACTGTGTGGCTCAGTGAAGTAAAAGTGAAATTAACTTTTCCATTTTTTTAAATCCCTTCTAGTCTTTCAACACATTACACATGATGTATCATGAAGCTACGGCTTGCCATGTGACTGGAGACTTAGTAGAACTTCTGTCAATTTTCCTTTCAGTTTTGAAGTCCACACGCCCATATCTTCAGAGAAAAGGTTTGGTCATCCATACTACTTATTTTTGTTAATACTCCTGTTAAAGAAAGAAAGATTCTTTCTCTCATTTATGTGTGGAAGGTGAGAGTGAAGCTGTGTAGCCAGCAGGAAGTGTTCTTCATGACTTCTGCAAAGCTGGAATGCTCTTGTGTGTTTTCTTTATGCTGTACTGAAAAATAAGCCATCCATTAGGATTTTGGGACATGGCAATTTTTGGAAGATTAGGAAAGGTTGCCAAGCAGTGACTGGGTGGGCGTTTTGTGAAGATTCTCCAAGTGGAAACTTCCCTGGCTTGGATTATATCATTTTTAGTTTCAAAAGAAATAGCTATAATATGTAGCACGCTTATGTCCCTGTAATAAGGTGTGATTTCTGAATTTACATGCATTTCTAGTGACGCTGAAATAAATGCTTTAAGAAATCATGGGCTGGTGTTGTAGTGTAGCATCTTAACGCCACTGCCTTGGACACCTGATCCCATGTAAGCATCAGTTAGAGTTCCAAATACTCCACTTCCGATCCAGCTTCCTGCTCATGTGCATGAGAAAGCAGCTGAAGATGGTCCCTGTACTTGGACCCCTGCTGCCCACACAGGAGACTAGGGTGGAGTTCCAGGCTCCTGGTTACAACTTGGCCCATTTGTAGCCGTTTTGGGCATGTGAGGAGTGAACTAGCATGTGGAAGATCTTTCACTCCTTCTCTCTGTCTCTGTCTCTTCCTGTCTGTCTCTTTGCCTTTCAAATAAAGGAAACTTAAATAAGTAAAGCAGGTTTAATAGTAATAGCCATCTCATGAAAATAGTCATTTATCTTTGACCAAAATTGTTTATGACATTAATTTGAATTTCTTAGTGCTTAGCATTCTGTATTTTATAATAGAAAAAGAAAAAAAATTGTGACGATTAATTTCTAAAATATTTTTATGCATGTTTTATATTTGCAGATGTGAAACAAGCATTAATCCAGTGGCAGGAACGAATTGAATTTGCCCATAAACTGTTAACTCTTCTTAATTCCTATAGCCCTCCAGAACTTAGAAACGCCTGCATAGGTAAGTTACTTAAACATGCACTTGTGTATGACTCTAGTGGAGACCTTTTTGGTAAGATGTGATATTAGATCTACAGGGTTTTGAAAACATTTTATTTTTTTATGAGTAATTCACATTGGCTTACCAACTCCTAAGAAAATCAAGTTCTGTTTCTTAACTCACTAGTAGCTATCAGTGGTGTCGTGGGAAGGTCACTTAATATTATGGCTGAGCCCTTTGACCTTAGGTTATCCATAGGTTTCTTGAAACTAAAATCTTACAGTGCTCTGAGTGCAAGGTAAAATCATATAAATGTTTACAAGGTAGAACTGACATTGTAAAGGACTGAAGTGATTATTTCACTGAGGTTTTTGTGCCCAAAAAGAATTCTGAGTAGCTGTCCTTAGGTTCTGAGCATTTTACCTTTTTATTGAGTGAACATTTATTTAAATAATTTGTGGCTTTTAAAATACAACCCCTCCATATTAAATTTATAATGAGTTTTTTACCACATTAGAAACCTTTTAAAGCAACAATAATTGTTGATGATTTCTCAAATAACTTGTGCCAGCAGTCAGCCGTGGTGTTCTGTGGAACTGCTGGCCTCCATTCTTTGCCCTTTCCCAGTAAGAGAGGACAGGCATCAAGCAATAACCTCCAATCACCAGAAATTATGCCAGGAGCTGGCACCGCAGCTCACTAGGCTAATCCTCCGCCTGTGCGCCGGCACCCCAGGTTCTAGTCCAGGTCGGGGTGCTGGATTCTGTCCCGGTTGCTCCTCTTCCAGGCCAGCTCTCTGCTGCGGCCCCGGAAGGCAGTGGAGGATGGCCCAAGTGCTTGGGCCCTGCATCCTCATGGGAGACCAGGAGGAAGCACCTGGCTCCTGGCTTTGGATCGGCGCAGCACGCCGGCCACAGCACATCAACCATGGTGGCCATTTCGGGAGTGTACCAACAGAAAAAGGAAGACCTTTCTCTCTGTCTGTCTCTCTCTCACTGTCTAACTCTGTCAAAAAAAAAAAAAAAAAAAAAATGCTGTATGGTGAGACAATGAGAATCCATCCACCTGTCCCGTAAAACAGAATTAATTAAAGTAGGTTATCTCCCTCAGATCCAAAGAACTGTGAACCTAGGTTTCTTTCTAAACAGTTGTGATTGAATTTATGAGAACACATAGTGCGTATGCATTAACTGTTTCTCTCACTGTACTACTTTCTCCATGAAACTTATCCTGTTGAGATAAAATAGTATTTTAAACTTCTAAGTGGTGGCTAGTAACTGCTGATCCAGGTGTGATTGAGCATTAGACAGGATTTGTCCCAGTGTCAGGAGCTATAAAGCAATTTTAGAATCATGAAAACTGGTTGCCATAATACCACTCTGACAGCAGTTTGGAGTTTGAAAGTACCGTGTAGAACATAACTTCAGGTTTTTAACTCAAATTGTGTTTTAATTTTCAGATGTCCTTAAGGAACTTGTTCTCTTGAGTCCCCATGATTTTCTTCATACTCTGGTTCCATTTCTACAGCACAACCATTGCACTTACCATCACAGTAACATACCAAGTACGTATTCATCTCGTCAGTACTTGAATATGGTTGGCATTTAATCATTCTGCACTCTGAAGCATGGAGATTTATTTTTTCCATTTATTCTTACTGTACACTTTTAATGTCTTAGTGTCTCTTGGACCTTATTTCCCTTGTCGAGAAAATATCAAGCTAATAGGAGGGAAAAGCAATATTCGGCCTCCGCGCCCTGAACTCAATATGTGCCTCTTGCCCACAATGGTGGAAACCAGTAAGGTATGTTGGGGTGCCAGGAAAATCATGGTTCTGTAGTGCAAAGTAATTTAAAATCCGCCCCCTGGCAGTTACCAGTATATTAGACTTAAGTGACCATTTTGTGGCTCCTAAGAAGATTAGACTCATTTGGACTTTATCCTTTTAGTGCTCTGAAATGTTGGTTGATTATTTACAAAATCAAAAATAAGCACAAGTAGTAAGTTCATATTCCACCCCTCAATAAATCCTTTAATAGTCAGCCTTAGTTTTTGTCACTAGGCTAAATTATAAATGGGTCATATATCTAAATCTGAAAAGTTGTCAGGTACTTACTATTTTTAAATTTGGTCATATAATCAATGACTCTTTTACTGCCCTTAAATCATATTCTTTTGACCTAAGCATAATATCACTGAATGATAGATTTATAATCATTTTTAATCTGGTTCCTGTCTTCTAACACTTACTCTAAAATAATGATAATTCTAAATTATAGAGACAAGGTACATTGACACGATAATTAGTTTCAACTTTTTTTAATAAATAATTTTTTCCCCTTTCTTTACCCACATGTCATTCTTACTCTCTTGCCCACCATCTTTTATCTTGCATATACTTGAGAAGCTCTTATAAGAGAAAATATGGAAAATAATTAATTAATTAACACTATAGTAACCATTTTAGAAATAATTTTGAATCTATTTCCAAAATCAGATTTAATTCATTCTTCTTAATGATATGTCTATAGAGCTAAAGTGTCACATTTTAAATTCCTACAGTAATTTTACGTTATTCAAGTATATAGAAATTATGGGTAATATTAATTTATAGCCATTTGCACACTGCAAATAAACTTATAACAATTAAGATCTTAACATTACTAGAAATTTTGAATTTAAAACTAGATTCTTATAGAATTTAAAGATTTAATCAGCTTTTTAGTTAAATTTTATTACATTTGCACAAAATATGCTATTTAATTTATTATACGATTTAAGTGCAACCATTTTATCATCTTTAACCTTCAGGGCAAAGATGACGTTTATGATCGTATGCTGCTAGACTACTTCTTTTCTTATCATCAATTCATCCATCTATTATGCCGAGTTGCAATCAACTGTGAAAAATTTACTGAAACATTAGTTAAGCTGAGTAAGTATAAAAGATGAGCAGTAAATTCCACTGAATTATTTTAAGTCCCTAGACATTCAGGAAGGGGAGAAAAAATATGAGACAATCCTTTTTTTTTCTTTTTTAAAGTGATGTTTAAAAATATTAGTATTCTTGGGAACATTTTAACTTTTCTTAAGAAAACACCAACTTACTGGTTTCCATTGAACAGTTCTGCCCAGAGTTTCAGCTGGCCTATAATGCAGTGTGGAGTAGGGCTGATCACTTCTGTATGTAGAAGCCCAAGTCCACCATATGCCCAGCAGAATTTGAAAAACAAAGCTTAAAAAAAAAAAAAAAAAAAAAAAAAAACCAAAAAAACTGCTCTGCTTAGGAAGGCAGGCTTAGTGATGGACTTCCCCAGCCCTGATCTTAAAGATGAGATGAGCTCTATAGCGCCAGCTGTGCTTTGGAGCTGGCAATTACAAGAGCAAGCCAGGTAGGCTTGCCAGCGTGAAGCAGAGGTGCATATATGAGTAATTAGGAGGTAAGTCTCATACAATAGATGACTAAAAAGAAGAAAAGTTTCAAAGGGGCTGTTTGAGAAAGAGCAAGCAAAAGCATCAACAAATTATATAGGGGGAGAAAGAACTCATCTTCCTTAATATTGTATCTCCAAGGGTGTGCCTGAGTGTTGGTAGAGAACTCCTCCTGTTGGGTTATTTTCCTCTTGCTGCTACATCTTTAGAAGACATGTAGCTCTACTCCCAACATCCATATCTTAGGACCCCTAGAGTTTCCAGGGCTCTGTGTATCCCCCCTCCTGATATCATTGTTTTGTTGTAGAGGGTAGGAAGTTAAATATTCGTCCCTGGACCCACCATCCAGATCAAGACAGAAAGTATTAACATATTCTGAAAGTCCCTCTATACGCCCCTTCTCAAGTCACAACCCCCTGGCCTTCAAATGGAAAAGGTTTTTGGTTCATTCCAGGTAGGGCAAAAGAAGGGACCCTACCTTAGATCTCATTATCCAAGGAGGAGGAAGTTGTAACAGCTTTCAGGGAAAATTAATCTTCAGAAAAACCATCTTATTGGTAAGTGGTGAGAGCATATTCAGATTTGAAAGGTTGTTCCTTGCACCTGTGAAAATCAGCTGGTTTTATGTATGTGTGGCTGAAATGCCAAGATGTGGGAGGTATGTTAGTTTGTTTTCTGTTGTAATAAAGTACCCGAGCTGGTAATTTTTACAGAAAAGAGGTTTGCTTAACTCACACATTTGGAGGCTGGCAGTCCAAGATGAGGGAGCCCCCATTGGTTTGGCCTCTGTTGAAGGCCTTCTGGTGATGACGTAACATAACCTAACAGATGGCATCATGAGATGAGAGCCATGAGAGTGAAGGAGTAGCATACAGCAAGACAGGAAGCCAGAGAGATGCAGGAACCAGGCTTGCTCTTTTCCCCTGTCGTCCCGGGGAATAACCACCTTGCACTAGACACCACCTCTTACAGGTTCCACTAACACATACTCCTTTGAGGAGCACACTCAGGGTGTCCAAACACCGCAGGGATAAGGATACCCTCAGACAGGACTGTGCACCTGACTCATGGCACTTGGTAGAAAGCTAAAACATGTCATTGGCAGTGATCAGGTGTGAGGAAATATCCAGGAATTCTAGTAATGCAGTGTTGCTCCCAGATAAGGAGAAGGACTTAGAATTAAGTGTGCAGACCTTAGGAAAAGCTCTTGGTGATTGAGTTCATGTGATGTAGACTAAGTTACATGAAGAGCTATTCTAGCTACTTGAACAGCTTTGACCACCTAATATTCTACTCTTTGGGATACTGTCTGTCAACACAAATGTGTACTTTCAGGGAAATTAAACATGGAAGGAAGGAAAAGGACATGGTACCCAGCCACCCAACATGCTGAGTCCCCTTTCATGAGGTTTTATATCACATCACTCCTATGGTGCTGCCTCTTAAAGTTTAGTTCTCTGAAAACACACTACTTTATATTACTTTCTACAAAGATGGAAGTCTTCTGTGCACCACTATCTATCTGCAATATGGTGTATGTGTTGAGAACAAAGGAAATTGGAATTTGTTTATTTTAATTAAATTTTAAATAGCCAAGGGCCAGCGTGGTGACACAGTGGATTAAGCTGCCACCTGCAACATCAGTATCCCATATCAGTGCCAATTTTTATCCCAGCTGCTCCATTCTGATCCAGCTCCCTGCAAATTTGCCTGGGAAAGCAGCCGAAGGATGACCCAAGAACTGGGCCCCTGCACTCATATGGGAGACCCAGATGGAATTTCAATTTCAGGCTTTTGTCTGGCCCAGTCTTGGCCCTTGTGGCCATTTGGGGAGTGAACCAGTAGATGGAACACACCTTTGTTGCGGTCGCTCGCTCATTCTCTCCTCTGCCTTTCAAATAAATAACTAAATCTTTTAAATAAATAAATTCTAAATAGCCAAATACAGCTGATGGCACTGCCCTAGATAGAAATCAAAAACTTCACAAATGGAATGGAGAAAGAAATTATTCTTGGTTTTATCCTAGCCAGTACAGACATTGTCTTAGGTAAGAAGTCAGACAAAGACCTAAGAGCAGTGCCATCTTTATGCCTTCCTATAAAGTAGATAGGTTATGGCCCAGGATTCGAAGTTGAACTCTTTCAGCTGAACTGTTTCCAAAGTGAGGCACCCAGGAAAGGGCTGGAAAAAACAAAATCCACACCAATAACCACAATGGGGAAAAGAGTTAAGGGTTTTAATTTCTTTAATTTTTCCAAGAGATTGCTTTGCAACAGAAAGCCCAAGGGATAGGCTAAAATCAGTTATATCCTTCCTGAATCATCTGAACCTTGAGGATAGCTGGTCCAAAGTCCAGAAATTAGAATATTGTGACCAATAGGGAGATTGTCCAAAGAGCTACACTGGATTTAAGTTATTTCCAGTGCGTTGGGGAAAAGTTTTTATAGGTAACTGAGTGGTTTCTTACCATTTGTTAGGCACTAACAGGGAATTACGTAATAACTGTCAATTAACAACTGCAGAGTTACCAAGAACTAAATGGCTAGGGTTGAAGGGAGGAGGGGCAGAGATGTGGTTAGAGGAGATGGGAAGAAGTGGAGTGTGTTCAGGGAGGGTGACTGAAACTGCTCATTGCCATCTGTAGTCACAGTGGCACTGAAGCCACGGTATTTTTATATTTTAAAATAGCCAAGGTTTCCAGAAAAAAATCAGGAAAAAGAAAAAAGGAGGATGTGACACCACTCATTCTAGAAGACTTATTAAAGATAAAAAACTGTTTTAGAATTCCTGTATATAGTTTGCAGTTCAAAACGGTGTCAGGTACACACTGATAACTCTCACAGACTGTCCTTAACTAACACTGTTGCTCATTTTTTGGTTTATCCTTTTTGCAAAAATAGGTGTGTTTTCTCCCCTTTCTTACATAAAAGTAAACTACGATGGTTCAGACCATGTAGTGCAGGTGTAGAAATAACATCAACAGGGCCAGGTAATGGGATGCAACAGGCTTAGCTGCCACTTGGGACACCGACATCCCGTGTCATTGTGCCTGTTTTGAGTCCCAGCTACTCGGGCCTCCAATCCGGCTTCCTCCTAAGGCCCCTGGGAAGTAGTTAATGATGATCCAAGTACTTGGATTCCTGCTACTCATGTAAGAGACCTGGATAGAATTCCTGACTCCTGGCTGGGGCCTGGGCTAGCCCCAGCTGTTGGGGCATTTGAGGAGTAAACCAACAGATCAAAGAGATCTCTGTGTGTCTCCCCTCTTTTTTCCTCTTTAAATTTTCCTCTTTTTTAAATAAATAGATCTTCAGGGGGAAAAAAAGGATAGATTTGCCATAAATAATGATAGGAAAAATGAAAGCCAACAACAGTAACAAAATGAAATGAAAATGAACAAAGCAATTTGTAGTGGAAAATAAAGCACTATTTAATTTAGAAAAGAAATGCCTAGGTAGACAATAGAAAAAGTCCCAGCAAACATATGGATACACTAGAATTTGGTAGATGCTATTAATGATCTATCCTATGAGTGCAGAAGAGGTGGTACTAAGATCATTGGCTAGCTTTCTGTGGGGGAAACACAAATCTTTAGTACCTATAATTAATTCCTTTGATAAGAATTAATTAGAGGATGGCTAAAGATTTAATTTTGGAAAAATATCTGTAAAATACTAAAGAAAAACTTGGGATCATATAGATACCTCCTTACAAAAGACCCTGTCGAATAGGACTCAAATCCCAGAAATAAGGCCGGCGCCGCGGCTCATTAGGCTAATCCTCCGCCTGCGGCACCAGCACACCAGGGTTCTAGTCCCAGTTGGGGCACCAGATTCTGTCCCATTTGTCCCTCTTCCAGTCCAGCTCTCTGCTGTGTCCCGGGAAGGCAGTGGAGGATGGCCCAAGTGCTTGGGCACTGCACCCACATGGGAGACCAGGAGGAAGTACCTGGCTCCTGGCTACGGATCAGTGCGGTGTGCTTGCCACAGCGGCCATTGGAGGGTGAACCAACGGCAAAAGGAGACCTTTCTCTCTGTCTCTCTCTGTCTCACTGTCTAACTCTGCCTGTCAAAAACAAACAAAAAATCCCAGAAATAAGTAAGAAAGTGAAAAATGTTGACTACATAAAAATTGAAAATACTACATTGTGAAAAGTGCCATAAGTTGAAATAAAACAATGGTGAATGGAAAAAATACATATCTAACAGATAACTAACATTGCCAGTATACAAAGCTTTTTTTAGTCTTTTGGTAAAACATTGCAGAACATCAAGCAAAATGTACAAAGTACATAAACAGACTGTTTACACACACAGTGAATGTCTGGTGACCAAAGGAGAAGCTGGCCGCATGCATTTATAAAGAAAGCATCAATGATTTATCTCTCTTGACCTTTTATTTATTTATTTTTATTTCAAACTCAGTAAAGTTTAGAGATTGCCCCCACTTAAAACAGTCTGGAGGAAAGGAGATATAATGGAGAACTAGTCAGAGTTGATTGGGGGAAAATTTGACATTGCCAGAATGTTCACACCTCTGACCCAGCAGTACCCGATCTATTAAAACAAGAAGCCAGGAACAGCCTTTCAGTTACATGAAAAGAAGAAAATTGGAAAACAGCAGGCAGATTCTTAGAAACAGGGGAGATCACAGTTAGTACGCATACAGAAAAAGATAGAGACTAATCATTTAAGGATGAACTTAGGAGATGCTCTCTGTTAACTAAGGTTTAAGTTATTTGTAATGACTATACTTTGGTTTTGTAATTGGAAGAAAGGCTTTAATATAGAATAGTGGTATGTAGAGCAAACTCTTTAATTACACCAGGGTTTTTTTGGGGGGTACTATATTTTATGTGCAAACTCTACAGTGTTATGCTCAAAACAAAATAAATCCCTTGGTTTCTATCATTTTAGTTAAGTACTTTTCATTTTCAACCACAAAACAGGAATTCCTTTTATCATCTTTTTGTTACACTGGTTTTGAAATTTTTCTTAATGGAACTAACAGAAAGTGACGTTTTCCGTATAACGTAATAAAGAATCTAGAAAATCTGAAGTCTTCAAAATCTCTCAAATGAAAAATTTAGTACAAATAGCAAATGTAACAATTCAGGTCTGCAGGAAGGACTGCTTGGATCCATGTTTCCTCTGTGTGGTATCAGGGTGGTACAGCCTGGAAGAGTGACTGCTTCACTCTTTCAGAAGCCTTCTTGGGGTTAATAGATCTCAGCACTGACTAGTCATGGTATCTGGTACAGATGAGAGGCCATCTTTTTCAGCTCACCCAAAGCAAACACAGTTATGCTAGGTTAACACATGGTAATCACATCAAAGAGACATTTATAGTTCTGAGGTTGGTCACTAATATGTTAATATACAGGAGAAAGAACTGGCATAGGGATCTGAATAGTCCATGGCTGGGCCATCAGATGGTTTTCTTTCAATAACCTATGTGGGAAGCTGAATGAGCAACAGTCAGTTGCTTAGTTGGTGTGAAGTCAAAACAAGGGGAATTAGGCAGATCAAAAAAGTCCTGTTCTTGAGCTAAAATGTCGCACATCTCCTATGAGTGCATTAGTCATGGCTTTCATCCACTGGCTAAGGCCTCTGCCTCTGCTGGATAATGTTTGGAGGGGCTTAACACATTAGTAGACAATTGGACAGAACCTTAACACAATTTGGACAGGAAAAACCATAACTAGTAAAGATATACATGAAACATTTTTTTCTCATAGCAGCTATGGGCAATACAAAATAATCTGACACACTTTTTTACCTCTTTCAACACATGTAGCATTTTCTACAGTATGAGGTGTTAGTAGTGGAAAAGGATGTATTTGGAACATTTTTTATTTTTGTGTATTCCTTCATTGGTGGGAACAGGGCAGGGTGGGCCATGCCTTGTTGAGGATGCCTGAAGTCAGGGGTGCATAAGCCAGGATGTTTTAGGCATGTCCATCCTGTTCCTTGGAGCAAGGCTTAGATATGTGCCTGAGAACTTAGGTGATTCCATTTCCCTTTGCCTTACACCCAGGAAGTAAGCTGCCTTAGATGGAGGAGGAGTGTGTGGAGTTAAAGGTATTAGCTTCTAACTTGAATCAGAGGAAAAGGGTTCTTCGTCCCCAGTGCTTTGGAAGGTGCTGTGGGGGAATAAAGCTGTTGCTGTGAAGGGGTAGCCTTCCAAAGAAGGTGTAGCTCTGAGAGGGGGGGGGCAGGACTATAAGGGGGTGTGTTTAGCCTCCCACAGGGTGGCCCAGGGGTTTCTAGAATGTGTTATACAGGAGGGTCCAGGGGAAGCTTATCTGTATTAGTAAATAGGTATGGTTCATGCTGCATCATAAGCAGGTACACCATGCTAATCTCCTATGCGAGTAACAGTAGTGCAGGTGATGGGCAGATGTACAGAAAATCATGGAGATAAGACACAGATGACTGAAGTTTGGCTACACATTGATTATTCAAAGGATTAAGAGCTTTAGAATCTGATAAACCTGGGATGGACTCTGAACCACATTGTTGACTGTTTCAAGATAAATCTGAACACTTGACATCATCTCTCTTAAGCCAATTTCATCATCAGAAGGGGTGCGGGAGGGGTCAGGGTAAAATACCTCCTAAAGTTGATGGGAAATGTGATTGACCCAGTAGATGTCAGTCAATGGCTGCTTGGATCAGAATGCCACTTAGAAACGATTTGGGATCATGAAGGCCTCTGTGGTGGCAGTGGTTTCTGTGTTGCTATTGTTGGCATGCTGGCACTTGTGGAGTACAAGTGTAAAGGATATGTCATTTTGGGGTGAAAAGAATAAAGACCAGAGAAGTGGAAATGACAGTATAGGGCTAGCTTTCCTTGAGAGAGATTAGGTCAGAACAGCATCAGTTCAGGGGTTGACAGACTGTGATGAGTGGGACACAAAAAATTGTAGACTTCACAGTCCACAAGTGGTCGCTGTCACATTATTTTAGCTAATAGGCTCAAATAAAAACAGGCTGTGGGTCAGACTTGGCCTAAGGCCCACAGTTGCCTACCCCTCCTCTAGTTTTATGGGAAATTACGATACAGGAACACAAACCCCCTCTTCCTATAGCCACAGATTGGATTGGCATGTCTATTTTGCTCCTGTGTATTCTGATATTACGATGTGTAAATGCTTCCAACCTCAACCATATTCAGTCAGGATAAAGGGGAGAAACGGTAATGTTTCCTTTGGCCTTCACAAATCTTGACAATAAAATACAGGCTTACCCACAAAAGGGATCCTAAAGAACTGAATACTGATCTGACTTGCCTTTTAAGATGTTCCCTAATGCTTGATCTCACGCAGACTATAGTCCACATGCTGCCTATTTTTATAAAATCAGCAGCTATCTGCCAGCTAAGAACAGGTTTCCGATTTTTTTTTAAACCTGGAGTAGTATTTTGTGACATGAAATTTTTGAGATTGAAATTTGTCTTCATATGTAAGGTTTTGTTGGAAGTCAGCTGCAGCCGTTCATTTAGCATCTGTTTATGGCTTCTCCCACTGCCTCCGCAGAGTTGAGCAGTTGCAACAGATTTTATAGCCTCAGAGTTAAAAATACTGATTGGCCCAAAAATGTTTGTGAACTTTTGATCTTAATTTCTTAACTGGAGGAGCATAGCTCGTGTTTTGCTGTTTTCCTGATCATAATCTATCCCTGGGAATGAGGAGCCGCGGAAATGTATTCAGGGCTGTGGTACTGACACTTCCGTACAGTGAAGGTTGGGGTGGTTGAGGATAGGGAGCAGATCTCCTTGAGACAGAGCTGACATCTGAAATAGGAGGGGAACTTAAAAGCATAGTGGTTCCACATAGGACTCAGTGTCAAGTGCAGTCCACCCAAATGATCCTGGAGACAAGGCTAGAAATTGGTAGGCTCAGAGCAGTGTTTATAGAAATGTACCACAAAGATAGTTTTCCCTGTCTTTGCAGAAACAAGGTAAAAGGAATGATAAGTTTGCTAATTCTTCACATTTTCAGTCTTGAAGTCTAGCTGCTCTGTGAAAACTTTCTAGTGTGCAGGGTGGTGCCTTAATCCAAAACAGCTTTGGAGCCACTTGCAGTGACTGATTTTCCCAGATAAAGTTCTGATACTCCAGAAGGAAGAGGGAGTTTAAGTTGCTTCAGGTCCTCCTGGGAATGAGGGTATAGGACAGTCAAGAAAGTGCATTCTAGATTATTTCACTGGCTAAAACATTGGAATGAATTCTTCCCCTATAGTTAGTTTATATTCATTTCTTTAAAATGCAGAAAATATGCATAGTTATGACCAGAAATAGCTAAAATAAATACCTGCAGTTTAATACCTCAGTAGTATAATTTATAATCATAACCTATTCTGATTTCTTTTCAAATATTAGGTGTCCTAGTTGCCTATGAAGGTTTACCACTGCATCTTGCACTGTTCCCCAAACTTTGGACTGAGCTATGCCAGACTCAGGTAATGAAAATGAATTACAGATGATTTGGTCTGTCTGCTCATTTAAGTGCTCTTTCTACTCATCTAGGGAGCAGTGGGTTGAAAGCTAACTGCATGGAATCTGGGTATGCTTTAGGTTTTAGAATCTCGATAGGTAAAATATGATGAATAGAAATACTGTCAGACAGTAGGCATCTAGTTTCAAGGTTTTTTTAAATTATTCTTTTGGTAGACTTGTATCACAGAGGGTATTTCAAGTAAGTTCATAATTGGATTTCTCATTTATAGGTCAGTGCCACTAGTTGTGGGAAAAATCCAAGAGGGATTATTGGGGCAAGGTGGCTTGTGCTACTTCTGGCTCTGTCTCCTCCCCACCATTGCACAAGTTCCAGCAGAAACCGTGACAGCCTTCTGTTTCTGATCTCTTCCTGACCCGTCACTTTCCAAGGGTGTGATATACTTGTCTTTTCATGTTTCTTTGAGCACAAGGAAGACTACCCTTCTACCTTGAGTGTCCAAAGAGTCAGCTCCTTAAGCTCAAATGGGCATAGAAATAATGCTCGCTTAATTGTGAAGGGTGAACGGCTGGGAGAGGGAGAAACTAGATTGGATCTGTTGGATGAGACAGAGAATCCCCTACTCTTTTAAAAAATCCTGAAGAAAGCCATTGGTTTTCTGTCTGGTTTATCTCCCCTTCTCCAGAGGAAGAGGTGGGTTTGCTGACCTTCCTTGACATGATAGTTTGTCAAGGGCTGTGAGTGTAGTGCGGCTGCCCAGCAGGCAGAGGTCTCGCCCTGTGGTTGTTTCTGTCTCCTGTTCTCAAGCTGTAAGCTCCTCTTGAATCACATCTTTGCAAGGCGTTTTACCTTACATGACCTAGGACATGGCAGGCATTCAGAAAAGAGCTTGCTCATTGATGTGTAGCTAAATAGTGCATTCAGGAAAGTGGAGAAGCTCTCTGCTTTCCTGTCTGCTGCTGCTGTTGGTACCTAGGATGGAATTTTCCCAGAACTAAGAGCTGAAGGTCTGGGGCTTGGTCCCACTCGATTTCCTGATTCCTTGGGTGACCGTGAGCAGTTTACTTCACTTACTAACTCTAATGAGCTAACTCTAGTGAAATATCTAAGTATACACATGGCATAGTGTCTTAACATTTTGTTCTGTTTTTAAAAAGTTTTTTCATATAAATAATCCATGATTAAAGCACACATACAAATCTAAGGAGGCTGTCTCCTTAAAAACATATACTACTTGTAAGAGCCATGACCATTTGAAAACAGGAAAACTCATTTCAGCAAAAAATCCTCACATTCAGACCTGCTAATCTGCAGGGAAGTAATTATGAAAGAGCTTTGTCTTATACCTTTACTTCTCCCCTTGTAAGTATTGCAAATAATCAAATTACCATAGATAATGAGCTCATAAAGTTTGACCATCTGGTTGAGAAGTTGATTTTAATTCTTAAAATTTGTGTCTTTCCTGTTATTTGCTTTTTGTACATTAATCGAGCCCCTAAAAAACATTCTCATTCAATAGCCACATTTTTCCAGTCCTCGTTACCTGTGTCAGTGCTGGGTAAGAAAGCTGCCATTTCTCTGGAAGCATCTTTGTTCAATCTTGCCATCCAGGGTCTTCCCTAGCACTCACCTACACAGTCCAAATTAGCAACCGCTCAGTGTACTGAGAGGACACTTGCTGAAACCAAAAGTTGAATAGCTGGGTTAGAAGTGGCTTTTCCAACAGAATTTGAAGTGACTTCAGATATCCACTATATGCAATGTGCTAAGTCCTTGGCTACTTCCATCTTCAACCATCAGTGCTTCTTCTCCCCACTTTAGTCCGCCATGTCAAAAAACTGCATCAAGCTTTTGTGTGAAGATCCTGTTTTTGCAGAATATATTAAATGTATCCTAATGGATGAAAGAACTTTTCTAAACAACAATATTGTCTACACATTCATGACACATTTCCTTCTAAAGGTATGTGGCACTGCCCCTTGCTTATGTTTGCACTTTGATCATATTGGTCGTTTGGAGAATGTTTTGTCTCTGATCTTTTTCAGGTTCAAAGTCAAGTGTTTTCTGAAGCAAATTGTGCCAATTTGATCAGCACCCTTATTACAAACTTGATCAATCAGTACCAGAACTTACAGTCTGATTTCACCAACCGAGTTGAAATTTCCAAAGCAAGTGCTTCGTTAAATGGGGTAAGGCTATAGAGGTGTAGGCTTGTACTTGTTCAGAACTTTCCTTAAATTAAACCTGTATTTGGCTTTCATGATTTTACTGTCAAAACTTTCACTATTCAGGTTTTTTTTTGGTTTTTTTTTTTTTTTTTTTTGGACAGAGTTAGAGACAGAGAGAAAGGTCTTCCTTTTCCGTTGGTTCACTCCCAACTACAGCCGGCGCCCTGCGCCGATCAGGAGCCAGGTGCTTCCTCCTGGTCTCCCGTGCAGGTGGGCCATCCTCCACTGCCCTCCCGGGCCACAGCAGAGAGCTGGACTGGCAACTGGGACTAGAACCCAGAGTGCCAGTGCCACAGGCAGAGGATTAGTCAAGTGAGCCACGGTGCCGGCTATCACTATTCAAGTTTTTAGAAGCACATGTTCCCTGTGTGTTCTGTATACTCGTAGCACACGTTCTCTCTCACTTTGAGACATGAGCTAATGTCATTAAATGTTTGGCAACACAAGCACTAAGAAACCCCTCATATCTCCATTTGTTCTGTGTTTGGGTTACATGACCTGTGATGTTGCTATTACTGCTCATAGTTCCAGAATAACCAAAACAGATTAATGACCTAAAAGTGGTTAAACCTAGGGCATTCCGTGCCCTCCATAGGTTCCCCTGACAGCCATCTCAGAGTGGAACCCCCGTGGAAATTCAGGGATAAGGGTAAGTACAGCCAGAACACGTCACAGGGCCAGATGGGGAAGAACGGCACTATTGACGACCACCAGAATTGAACTTAAACTAATTTCCGTAAGGCTGTTTCTCGTGAAGCAAAGGTCTTTAAGAAATAGCATTTGTAAGTCTGCCTTCTCATACTGATTTTTTCTGTTCCATTTTCAAAAAGCACTACTTGAGCATTCACTGTGACATTACCACCATGGTTATATACCTGTGTCAAGTAAAACAGCATCACCTAAAAATGCCAGCGAGATCTGGCTGGCTGCTTATGAAAGTTAACATTTTAAAACAGTTCTGTCAAAATGGTGGCTTCAGCATTTCAACGTCCTGTCTGGGTTTTTGTAGGACCTGAGGGCGCTGGCCTTGCTCCTGTCAGTACACACTCCCCAGCACTTAAATCCCGCGCTCATTCCAACTCTGCAAGAGCTTTTAAGCAAATGCAGGACTTGTCTACAACAGAGGAACTCGCTCCAAGAGCAAGAAGCCAAAGAAAGAAAAACTAAAGGTTAACTTTATAGATTGATGTTACCTTTAGGGTGGGGGGTGGTAAGAAAACAGTTGGTGTAACAGTTGAACCTCTCAACCTTTAAGTGCTCAAAACTGCTCCTCCCCCCATGTGATCGTAATGACCCCTTTCAGAGAACTCCCCCTTGTGATCTTGTTTTCAGATGATGAAGGGGCCACTCCTGTGAAGAGGCGGCGAGTAAGCAGTGATGAGGAACACACCGTCGACAGCTGCATGGGCGACGTGAAAACAGAGGCCAGGGAGGTGCTGACCCCAACTAGCACTTCAGACAATGAGACAAGAGACTCCTCCATTATCGACCCCGGAACTGAGCAAGATCTCCCTTCCCCTGAAAATAGTTCTGTTAAAGAATACCGAATGGAAGTTCCATCTTCGTTTTCAGAAGACATGTCAAATATCAGGTCCCAGCATGCAGACCAGTCCAACACCAGTAGATTTGAAGACTGTAAAGAATTCAAAGACCTCCACTGTTCCAAGGATTCTGCCCTACCTGAGGAAGACGCCGAGTTCCCGTCTACTTCCATCTCTGCCGTACTGTCTGACTTAGCTGACTTGAGAAGCTGTGATGGTCAGGCTCTGCCCTCTCAGGACCCTGAGGCGGCTTTGTCACTCAGTTGTGGCCATTCCAGAGGACTCTTTAGTCACATGCAGCAACAGGACATCTTAGATACCCTGTGCAGGACCATTGAATCTACAATCCACGTGGTCACAAGGATATCTAGCAAAGGCAACCAAGCTGCTTCTTGACATTAGATGTAGCATGTCTACTTTTAAGGCCCCTTCCCCACCCCCAATGCTGTTTGTATAAGTTTTGCTTATTCGTTTTTGTGCTTCAATTTGTCCAGTGCTCTCTGCTTGAATGGCAAGATAGATTTATAGGCTTAATCCTTGGTCAGGCAGAACTCCAGATGGAAAACCTTGCATCTTCAGTATACTTTCTAAAGGGCAATCAGATAATGGATGTTTTATGTAATTAAGAGTTCACTGTAGTGGCTTTCATTTAATACGGCTGTCCGGGAGGAGCAGGGTTCCCTAGCCCTGTACGTTGTAATTTAAACTTACAGCATTTTTACTGTGTATAATATGGTGTCCTCTGTGCCAGTTTTGTACCTTATAATAGAGGCAGATTGCCTCCGATCGCTGTGGTTCTTATTATCAAAATTAAGTTTACTTGTATACGGAAAAACCACAAGAAATTTGATTCTGTAAAGAATCCTCTTTAGCTGTGGCCTGGCAGTATATAAATGGTGCTTTATTTAACAGAATACCTGTGGAGGAAATAAAGCACACTTGATGTAAAAATAATTGTTTTATTTTTATTGACATGACTGATTGCTATTCTGTGCACTTAATTAAAACTGATTGTGATGACTTTTCATTTGTTTACATGTTGCTTCAGTCCGCTCAGAATGAGTAACCTGTGGAGGAGGGGCAACACTGATCCACCCATCTGGTACTTCCCGACAAGTGTTTGCAGCAGTCCAACAGAGTAACTTACCCTCTGCCTTTTCAGTCTTGTCCACCCCAAAGCCGTAACTGCTGCAGGACCACCCAGCACAGCAAGGAGAAGGGGACAGACCGCCAGCAGGCCTCCCGTCAACATACCCCTGTTTCACTAAGGAAGAGCTACACAACTCATACACCCTACAAATAAAGGAAGAACATCAACATGCCATTTATTCTCTGTCTCCTTCAAGTTAGCCTACAGCTGAAAGCGAGCGTTCTAGGACAACCTGCAGTTCGGGAAACGTCAACCACCTGTGCTCAGGCTAGGATTGCATTTCCAGAAGAAACAGGATAGGGAAAAGGTGAGGCGACCACCTTGGCTCAGGCTGCTTGCTACTGAAAACTCACTGTGGGGCCTAGTTTTAGTAGAAAGAGTCAGACAATGCCCGAAATGCTATGTAAGTTCATAGATTTTCATCCAATATAAAATAAATTAAGAGGTTTTGTTTGCTTTCTTAATATTGAAGGAAGAGGTAAACATGACACTTTTTGCTTACAAAAAGTAATGCCCTCGTAAAAGCTAATCAACCATGCAGGGTGGCCAGCTGCAGTAAACCTTTTATTTCTTCAAAATGCTGCTTCTGCCAACAAATTTTCACGTTCTCTTCTTTACAGACAGGAACTCCTTTACAGTGCAGTTGCAGTTCTGTTTGTCCTAGAGTAGGCACAAAATTCAGTGCAACTGTTGCATAGTGTTCTGGAAAAGAAACAGGAAGCGGATCACTGCATTAGGAAAAGGGAAGCTTAGACTGCAACACCTGGTTTTCGCAGGGGAAGAAAAACCCAGCTTAGAGTTGGACCTTCATGCATACAAGACACTTCACATACCTTCTGGCCAGTTCCTACATCTCCATTTCATGATGATCTTTCTATTTGTTAACTGAAAACAAACAAGAAATTCCACTGAAAACATACTTTAAAATACTATCCACAATAAAATACACCCTTTCATTAAAACCCCAAAGTAGGAGCTGACATTGTGGTATAGCAGATAGAGCCACTGCCTACAGTGCAGGCATCCCATATGGGCACAGGTTTCTGTCCTGGCTGTTCCAGTTCCCAGCTAATGGCCTGGGGAAAGCAGTACAATATGGCTCAAGTACTTGGGCCCTTGCCACCCATGTGGGAACCCCAGAAGCTCCTGTACCGGCCCTGGATATTGTGGGGGTGAACCAGCAGATGGAGACACTCTCTCTCCCTTTCAAATCTTAAAGTGCCAGTGCTGTGGCAAAGCAGGTAAAGCCACTGCTGCCTGCAGTGCCAGCATCCCTTTTGGGCACTGGTTCGAGTCCCGGCTGTTCCACTTCTATTCCTGGGCAAGCTGCAGAGGATGGCCCAAGTCCTTGGGCCTCTGCACCTGCGTGGAGAACCAGGAAGATGAAGCTCCTGGCTTTGGATCGATGCCGTTGCGGCCATCTTGGGGGTGAACCAGTGGGGGAAGACCGACCAACCTCTGCTTCTGCCTCTCTGTAACTCTGCCTTTCAAATAAACATAGCTTTAAAAAAAATAGTACCCGAACAATCAGTGAACAACATAGTTCCATTTTCTTTACATTCCAGCACCACTGATGATTCGTCTTAACCACCAAATGTGTGCTAACAGCAGTAAGATCAAGGACCACAGAGTATAGGGACACTGGCAACAGGACATAGCTCGGGTCCAGGGTGAGGTGACAGACAAGTGACCTGGGTGCTGATGTCAGCAGAGCCTGAAACTGCCAGACCTGGGCAGGAGAAGGCCCACTCTTGTACAGGCACAAGCATTGCACAGGCACTGGCAAGCTGAGGCTTCCCCTTCATCCTTACTTGGTACAGATACTGTGTAGACTACAGTCTACGTTATCCTGAGAGCAAATACGGTTCAAGGTTCTGTGAACTCAGATAAAACCAGAGCAGGTTAGAAAGCTTCCTGGCTTTTGCCCGGGCTACTCACCAGTTCCACATACTCCCCAGTGATGTTCCCATCGAACATTTGGAATTTCCCTCCCTTTTCAGCTTCTAAGACAGCAGAAGATTTAGAAAATTGTTGCACCAACTAATGAAACAAAACACAGCAGACAGGTTACTGAGCCACATGCTGTAAGAATAAGTGGAAATAATGCAACAATCGCTATGGTTGAGTGATGGGGTTTTTTTAAAAATCCTGAATAGTAGCCTTTACGTACAGAAAACACAAAAGCTTCCTCCTCTCAGAGAGGAGTCACTGTATCCCCCACACTGCCACTACAGTCCCCAAATCTGCCTTTGTCGTCTCCTCAAATCACTCCAAAGCCCTCAGGCATTTCTGTTGCTACCATCCCAGCTTTCTGCTCTCGGCACGCTTCCCCCGCCGCCAGCCCGTGCTTACGTCCTTGACGGTGAAGATGCTGTACAGCTGCTCCACTGTGGCATCAAACAGCTCCGTCATGTGCAGCGCCACGGTGGGGATCCTGACTCCCAGCGCTGCCGGCGACGAAGCCTGCGCCTCACCAAGGAAAAAGGTTTAGAGGGGGGGTTAGCACACCCACGAAGAGCTGCTCGGGTTTTACAGTCTTCCCAACCAAACCGCAAAGCAGCCTCAGCTGCCTGCCGTCCCTTCCAGACACCAGGACGGGCACGCAAAGCCTCCCTGGCACCACCAGGTCCTGCTGCTGCCCTGGGACACGGCTCCCTGTTGCCAGGAGCTGTTAGCTCCATCCACTCCCACCCAGTGTATGGCCGCACACCCCTAATTCCAGCAGGACCTGGAAATGTGGCCCAGGGGGGCACACGGGTAAGCGTATGGAAGACAAGTACACTTGAGGCTAAAGAGTGTCCATCTGTCCCAGCCTCCAGGACAGGAGGAAGACTGACAGCCTGTGTCACTGCTGGGTGGGTGGGCAGATGCTGTCTATCCCACAAGGCTGTTCACACGTTCCTATCAAGAACCAAAGCCTCCTGTCACTCATACAGCCCCACGCTCCTCACTAAGGGCACCCCAGCGCTGCTGGGCAGCTAAGCACCTCCTCTCCCCCTCCCTCTGCTCGGGCCCCGAGGTCCCACCTGCATGGCATCCTCACTCAGTTTCCGCTTAACTGTCACCTCCTGGGTTGCCAGAGCTTTCGTCGGTAAAATCATTCCCATTGTAAATTCTACAAAAAACACAGGAAATGCTGTGTCACGGCCTTCTCCCTGGCAAGCAGAGGAAAGTAGGAAACCCAGAGCAGCATGTGCAAAGACAGAACTGGTATTTACTGAGTTCCCACAGCATTTTGCTAATTTTAAGACCATTGTGTGTTTTTATATAGAAAGCCACTGATGATTAACAACAAAGGTCCTAAGGCCATAAATGTCTTTTCCGTATCTTTTTTCAAATACCTCACTTTTTTTTTATTAGGTAGAGTTAGACAGAGAGAGAGGTCTTCCTTCTGCTGGTTCACCCCCCCAAATGGCCGCTACGGCCGGTGCTGCACCGATCCAAAGCCAGGAGCCAGGTGCTTCTCCTGGTCTCCCATGCAGGTGCAGGGCCCAAGGACTTGGGCCATCCTCCACTGCCTCCCGGACCACAGCAGAGAGCTGGACTGGAAGAGGGGCAACCGGGACAGAATCCGGCGCCCTGACCGGGACTAGAACGAGGGATGCTGGTGCCACAGGCAGAGGATTAGCCAAGTAAGCCACGGGGCCGGCCCAAATGCCTCACTTTTACCAAATTCTTAAAAAGCAGCCAAAGGGCCAGCAGCATGGCACAGGTTAATCCTCCACCTGCAGTGCCAGCATCCCATATGGGCGCTGGTTCGAGTCCCGGCTGCTCCGCTTTTGATCCAGCTCTCTGCTATGGCCTGGAAAAGCAGTAGAAGACGGCCCAAAGCCTTGGGCCCCTGCACCTGTGTAGGAGACCCAGAAGAAGCTCCTGCCTCTGGATCGGCCCAGCTCTGGCCACTGCAGCCATTTGGGGAATGAACCAGCGGATGGAAGACAATTCTGTCTCTAACTCTACCTCTCAAATAAACAAAATCTTAAAGAAAAAAAGCAAATTTCCAGAAGTTCTTTTCCAAAAAGCTAAGTTTCACATAGGCAACCACTCCCCTGTGGTCCCGCTCACTGTCAAAGCCAGGCGCTCTGTCGCGTCACCGCTGCCTCACCAAGCCTGGCCGCAGGGCAGCCGAGCCCATAAGCTAGCTGGCCACAAGCACGGCCTCACGGCAGGCAGGGTGGCAACTCCAACCCACAGGGGCAGCACCAGCAAGGAGAAGGCACGGCACCATGGGCCCTGCAGCCATTGTACCCGCTGGCAGCCTCTGCAATGTGGAGGCTAATGGTGACTTCACTTCGAGGTCTACCTCAGCTGTACCTGTAATCCCTGCGGGCACTTCCACTCATTCACTTACTCAAAGATTTATTAAGCACCTACTGCATCCCCGGCCTTGTGCTGGAGATACGGCAGTGCACGGAGCATACAGGCCGGCAGCCCCTCCAGATAGGCGTGAAACAGTAATTCCAGAGGCGACTGACTGCTCTCACCCCCGCGGGCCGCGCACAGCACTGCTGCTCAGTCGCCATCGCCCCCACCCCCAACCAGCTCCCACCTTCCAGTCCAGCACTGTGCCTGCAGCGCGAGTTGTTTCTGGAGCCCTGCCCTGCTCTCACTGTAACCTGGGAACCCAGCCCCCGCCCCGAGCTCACCCTGGGTGAGCAGCCAGGGCCCCTGTGCACCTCCGGGGGATGCCGCCTTTACCCGTCTTAAGCGCCTTCAGGTAGTCTCCGAGGGCCTCCCTGACCCTGGCGGTGCCTGCGGTTCGCATGAGCTCCTTCAGGACATCGCCATCGCCTTTCTTTTTACTCACGTTCACCTACAAAGCAGAGCACACACACCGGAGGGGAGACTGGGTGGGTGGATTCCTCCCACGTGGTA